TCTGTTCTGACTTGTCGCTCGTGTCAGTCTGTTTTGCATCAAAGCGTGAGTAATATAAAAGTCTACGCTCTAGACATATGTCACAGACTTGATAGATTTGTAAAATATGACATTGAGTATTGGATTATGAATTCAGAACTTTATAATGAAAATTAGGCCCAGAGTAAGGCAGTTGTGTGAAAAAATAATCCATCTCACTATTCCTAGTTCCCAAAGTTTGGGTTCTATCCCTATTCTGTCACTGAGCTCTTTTAGACAAGTGACCCAGAGAGAACCGCGTCGCATAAGTTTTCAACCTATAGTTTCAAAGAGTGACTCACGGCCCTCATGTTGTGGCCTGAGTTGTTTAGAAAATTGAAGAAGATTGTTTTCTGTGGGTTCATGTTTTAATACGCATAAACCTTCCAATATCCTGGGATAAATACAAAAAAAGGCCTGCAACATCGCTGTTTTGTGCTATCACATAGTTTCTGGGGTTTGACCCGCACACCTATCCATTTGCCAAAATAATTGAAATCGTAGGATCTATAAAACCTATAAACCTATAAAATCTTTCAGAGCCCAGTTTATTTTTATTTATTTTTTGCCTCATGCAATCTCTCGATATGCAAAACATCCAGTATCTAGATATAGGAAACTTTTAATTTGATACAGTAATTAATAATGACTTAAGTAAAATTAATTCTAAGCAATATGCTTCAGTGAAAATGAAAGGCTTTTGGCCCCTTATGCAACACATTTATATTTCATTTCTTGAAGATTCGTTGTTATTTAGGTCAAAATATTAAAATATTAAAACAAAATATATCTTCTATCTTTTTTATCTGGGAAAAAGTCAGGGAGAAAATGTGAATAAAAATAAGAATATTATTACATTTGAAAAATATTTTGTATCATTTTTGTCTTTACAGTTTTTGCACTGTGTACCTATAGCAAAAATGTTGGCCTGAATGCGATGGATTGATCTTTGATGCAGTGGCAGATTCAGAGGGCTGCAGACACTCGGGACAGGCAGTGCAGATGAGGTTTGGCGTTGGAGCACACAGAGAGGTGCAGTGTGCGTCGGTGTGAGCTGAAGGTGTCCCGGGCCGCGGAGGAGGGTCCATGTTTGAGTGCGGCCCGGGACCTTACAGCAGTGGATGGTTCACAGAGGCGTGTCTGTGAGCCTATAGGGGAGAGAGCCTGTGCACACTGAGCCCTGTTGTCCTGTTCCTGCCGTCTGCATATGGCCAAAGCATTAGGCGCGGCAGAAAAAATAGCCTTGTATTGAAAAAACAGGCTGGAAAAGTACATTGCTTTTTGTCTGGAAGAATCTTGCAGACTAGAAAGTGCGTCATGCCATCTTTAAGTCGGGCAACTGATTGTAATTATGGTGTATAGTGTAAAATAATATAACTTAATCGATGAACTGTCTCTGTTCTTAAGGGCATCCAATGTAAATGATAAAATACATGTGAAAGTAGAATACGTAAAACCATTTTCAGAAACCTGGCAAAAATGTTTTTGATGCACAAGGAAAAGAGAAAAATATCAGCATACTGAGATATGGAGATTTTGCTAAAGTTCAAAAATTTTGATTTGCTTCCTTCAAGCTAGAGATTATATACTTACTTCAGTAAACTTAGTTTTTATAATTTTGTAATTTTTAATATGTAGTTACTGTTACTTTATCTTGGGTTGTGTGTTTCTTATTTCTACTTCTCTGTAATCGGTGATGCAACACGGAAATTTCCCCACTGGGACGAATAAAGGAGATCTAAATCTTAATCTTTTTAACCAACCTCTTCCATTGCCCTGGACTAATCAAATAAACAAGTTGTTTGCCTTCTCAGAAGAGTTTGTACACGATACGCAATAATTTGGCAACGACAACAGCAAATGAAAAAGTTCCAAATCAACAAGTTGGTGATCCGTTCGTAAAGTGTTATTGTGAAAGAGTATAATTCCATCTGACAGGCATGATGAGAAAACACAAGGAAAGGCTGTTGTTTCAAGACTTTTCCTCCTTGAAATTGCTTTGGCAAATATGTCAAGCCTCCTGGTCCAAGTAAAGTATGTGCCATGGTCTAATTCTCAATTTTCATCAAGTTCTGGACTGGGCATTTGAGTCGGCTGCCATGTCCAAATGGGCTCTAATGTTCCCTACTTCCCTTTTGAAACGTCCCAAAGTCAACCAGAGGAACTGGGCAGGATGTGGTCCTATGTACTTGGCAACGTCTGAATCTCTTGTGTTCTTTGAGCCCAGTCAGCCGCCCTAAGGTGTACTATATGCTCTCTTTCAGCAATTTGTTACTATATCATTTGATTTAATAGAGCCTGTCAGTGTTTGGTTTGGAGCCACTTGTCCATAATGATGGACAAGTGGCATCGTTGATTTATCGGTTGAACCTTTTTTGTGCCTGATTTATTTTATTGGGATAATGAGCATGTATTATTCTGTTATCAGTAGCTGTACCTTATTCCACTTGAACCTTCACATAGACTTGTATTAGTTTAATAAGTGAACCAGGCCTGTAACAAGTTAATTGATAAACCATATTTTAACCTGTAGACTTTAAGATGCTGAAAATGTCTTTACAAATTAGTTTTAGTCATCTTACTCAATAATTTCTACAGAGGCATCACTTGAAGCATGTATAAAAAAATCCCATATTGACTGACCTTTTGGATCTTAACAACTACTCCATCGATTATCAAAGTAATGGGAAAGCCAGGGCCATGACCCCGTCGTGGTGGCACCGGGCGGCAGTGCTGCTTGCCTGATAGATACAGTATGGGATGTGAATGTGTGATTGGAACTTCTTCCTGTAGTCAACCTCCCATCATAGGAGAAAATGTTTTACGGCTATCAAGAAATAGAACAAAATAAGCGTCAATTTTAGGGTATACTGGTGCAATCTGAGTTACTCGCTCAAATGATATACGTAGACACATACAGTAATAGTTGTAAGAGATGTTGGCAGCTTTATTAACTATCTAATTGAATGTATAAAGCCATGTGTGCAGATCTTTGGATATGCGGTACCTGTTCAAAATCTAAATCTTGATTTTATTTCAAGCACATTTGAGTTTGACGAGTTCTTTATAACTAGGGTTCTTTGTCCAACGTAGACTGTGCGCCAACGGTTTCCTTTGAAGTGCTTTGATCGACTATATTGACGTAAATTGGGGAGCAGCACGCTGGCTCTTCTGTTGTGCGAAGCATATGGGTTAAATGTCTTCCATGTGTGAAGCTGTTTGAGTCAGGATCAGGGTTTTCCATAGATAAAGGAAGGTGGGGCCATCCACATAGACACAGCATCCACCTCCCCTGGGCCAAATTCCCTCTTATATTAGTTTTTCTTTTAATTTGTTTTCTCAATTTGGGGCTTTTTATTTTAAACGTTGCAGCATGTGAGTCATTGCTGTAGTGACGGGGTAAATGGATGTCATGACGGCAACAGTAGAACTCCAGTCCGTCCACCAGTAATAAAACTCCACCCCGTGTTTTGAACAAGTTTGGAGCCAACAAGGAAGCGTTTAGTTTCTTTGGCTCACAGCACTAGCCTCCGCTGGCCTTTGCAATTCTCCAAAGTCAAAGTTTGCCTCATGAGTGGCCTGTGTAAACAAAAAAACTAGAGGCAGTAGCTTTTTTTTCAGTCAAATGTTACATTAATACTTGTGTATTGTATATATGTAAGTGTGTAGTTAAGATCCATATAACAAAGTTATGCTGATCTAAATTTGAATTTTAAATTTTGTTTTAGTGACAATTGATAATGCAAGATTACATAACCATATTTGACCTTGATTAAGAAAAGCGTGGTTACACTACTCACTATAATTATCCCTTATTAAAAAATAGACATAATACATTTTATTCTGTCATTATTATTTTTTTCCCCAGTCATCAGTCAATTTAAAACAATTAGAGACAAATTAAAATCCAACCAGACAAAGGGTTATGCTAAAGTTTGACACTAATTTAGCCTGACCCTGTTCTACTTGATGAGAATGGCTTGTTAAGTAATTGTTAATAATAGATAAGATAAACTTTATTGATCTCACACAGGAGAAATTTACATGTCACATTTGGCATGGATAGAATCACTCAGATTGTGCAAAAGACAGAAGTGTGCAAACATGCTAAAGGTTAAAAATATAGTCTGTGCAGGATATATTATGTGCAATAAAAAAGTGGCAATAGCAGTGCTGGTTTTTTCAGTCTGAGTGCATTAGTGACTTAAAGATACAATTGGATACATATTGCTAACTATGAATCATCAATCAATAAGACTTTGACTCTTAAACACTTAGATAAATAAAACTCTAATAATTAACAATAATAAAACTACTAAAAATTACTTGGTTTTGTTCTTTGTTAAGGCTGTAAATAGAATTATAAATTGTCCCTAAGTAGTAAAATTGTACATTGTAGTAGTTGTTGAAAAAGTACTATCCTACAGTGACAATGAGCTCTTTTACACTATTTTGAGCGCCATATTCTTGCATGTGTGTGCTCTTGAACAGCCACATTTGTTTGAGCCTAGGGAGGGGGTTGCTTTGACATTGTAGCAGCAGAAGGCAGTAGACCGCTGTTTTGGACGTCACATATTCACCACAGAGATCTTTGAGGGCAAATGTTTAGCGGCTGTAACGGGTTGGAGGGAGTATGCTGAGTAGAAGGGGGCTCTCCGCACGCACATGGACTAGAGGCTAACGAAGGGGTCCAGAGAAGTAGACTACAAAGTGGGAGTGGGCAAACAGTAACTCTAGCCTGTCTGGGTCTGCTGCTGCTGCTGCTGCTGCTGCTGAGACTTCCCCAGTTTTGGAGGAGGGCGATTACATGAAGGGACTGTGTTCACAACCTCGTTGCCGTTGTGTGTCTTCCGGATGTCCGCCGTCCTGTGCACCTCCGAGCCGTCCTGCGACCCTGGCTGCTGCATGCGTGGTGTCGGGGGGTCCGTGCACGGGCATGGAACCTCTCGGGCCTGAGTACATGTCCGTGTGTCTGTTGGCAGATGAGTCGTACCAGAAGTTGGCGATGGAAACCATGGAGGAGCTGGACTGGTGTCTGGACCAGCTGGAGACCATTCAGACATACAGATCTGTCAGCGATATGGCGTCAAACAAGGTAAGAAATTGCATTATTCGACTGTTTATTACATATGCAGCACTTAATTCCAGGATTGGGTTTGTGTTTTAAAAAAACTCTTGGCAATAATCCAAATATTGTAGTAACAATATCTTTCATTTATCTATGAAGATTGAGTAGCAGAATTGCTACTTGTAAGACTGTTTTTGTTATGAGGGTTAGGTGAAAAAAGTTTTCTAAACTCCTAAACTTCTCTGGTCCTATTCTTGTTGATCACCAATCAACAAATAAATAAAAATAAGCTAATGCAATTACTGATAATACTGATATTATATAGTTTTGTAGACTTATTTTATGATTTTTATTTTTTTATTTAAGCTACGGCTTGTTAGTGTTCGATTTTAGGCCTGAGTAGTGTAACTTTGTCATTACACAATAACACAGAAACAGGGAATTTAAGTCCATAAAGTAAATCACTTTAATTAATTTTTTGAATTTGTAATTTCAAAAATCGGTCCTGTGTCGATGCTTACTGTTTCATCACTGGCATAACGACTCCCATAAGACCTCCCAGGAACAAAGTCTAACCCACACTGAGATCACAGACCACTGGGTTGATGAATGGGCGTTTCAACTTTGATTGTTTTCAATTACATTTTTGTTTGTTGGAAGAAAGCAGCACTTATGACCCTGTAATATGCTCTGAGACATAAGATAACACGAGGGTTGAACTTGCTGATTCGCATCCCCACAGTTGGTCTTTGTTGCTCTGTGGCTGTCACTCTGCATAGTGTATGCAAAATGTAAATTGCCTTTTGCCACATTGACGCACTTGCAAAGTAATAGCCTTTCTGCGGTAGGGTTTTGTTTACACAGGGGCTCCCTTTATTGAGTTCTCTGACTTCCTCATAGAAATGTGTTATCGCCATAGAATAACGGGTTCTACCAGCTCATATGAACAATAGAAATATATTATCTTTTCATCTAAACATTTTGATTTCACCATAAACAAAAGACATGGTTGTTAATGTCTTGCACATTTTGCACAAGTATAGTATTTGTATATGGCTTGTAGTTTTGGGCTACTGTTCACGACAGTGCAGCAGCATGACATTGTAAACAGCGGGGAGGTGGTATCCGTTTCCGTGGTTATCAGCAGACTGTGACCGTGACACACGTTTCCTGCCGTTTCACTTCCTGCGGCCCCTGCGCCCCCCCCAGCGGACCACAATAGACCCAGACGACCAGAGCCAGACTTAACAGAGTCAGACTTTACAGACGTCACAGGGACCGATAGGACAATGAGCCGGGCCCAGAGCTGCTGTCGGCTTCACAGTTCATTGTTAGCTGAAATATAGACCTGTTATTATGTCCATGAGAAGCATTATCCAACATCATCGTGTGTAGTTTGTCGCAGTGGTTCTCAAAGTCCGGATATACTAAGCTCAACTGGGGGGGTCCTGAGATGATCTTTGATAACATCTTATTTAACACAAAACTCAATAAGTGAAGTAAAATTATGGGTCAGATAAACACATTTACTATTTTAAATACTTCTTTATATTTCCTTTAGCAGTGGAGGGCGTGAGTTGTCTTCGTGCATGATTAAGGTGGCCCTCCCTGAAAGGTTTGAGAACCCCAGCTTTGAAGTATTTTTGAAATTTATTTTTAGTCTATTGAAGTAAGTAAGTAAGTATTTATATACCGCCTTTTCACTTGCAGATCTGAGTCTCAAAGCGGTTTACAACTGTTATTTTTTTTTGGGCATTTGTCTATCCACACAGAGATGGGAGCGGGGGCACCAGTACAGGAGGCGCATGCCAGACCTATTGTACATATTTTTAGTGGTAGGGGAAACCGGAGTACCCGGAGGAAACCTACGCAGACACGGGGAGAACATGCAAACTCCACTCAGAAAGGCCCTGGTCCGACCGGGATTCGACCGGGATTCGAACCCAGGACCTTCTAACTGAGAGGCGAGAGTGCTATCCACTCAGCCACCGTGCCGCCCATGATGAGGTATAACGTTTAGACATTAGTTTACCTGGTCACAAGCGAAAAGAGGATGCAATTGGATGCACCAGAATTGTTCAATGTTGCACTATTTGACTCTAAACTCAAATTGCATGTTCTGTCCAACCCACAAATGGTGCAACCAAAAGTCTTTCTGAAACCCCGATTACGTCCTCTCTGTCCCGGGGGGCAGGTGTGGAGCAGGGGGACCACACACTCTGCTCTGGCCTGTGTACGCGCACTATCATTACCCAGCCGCACTTCCACCAGTCACCCCGCTGACGGCCTTGCACAAACACGGCCATCTGAATACAGTTAGCGCCGTTTAGCCCTCGTTGGGTTAGCGTGCGAGCGAGCCCCTGACCGACTAGGAAACTTTAACGCACGTGTGGTCAGTCCGGCTTTGAAGCGCCGCCGTCTTCAGCGCGAGGGGAAATAATATGACAAAATTAAAGTAGCAGATGGAGTGGTGGGTCTGAACTGAAAAGAACATGACATTATATTGAGTGGGGTGATTGAAATGATGGTGGTACTACATCAACAAAATATTGACCTTGTATCTTTCAATAGCTACCAGGAAGGAAGTCAAAGTTACAACACTGTAAAAGTCCCGGAAATAATTGATATGACAATTATGAGAGCAGATACAACATTTCCTCATTCAGAGCTTTTGTTACAGAACTAGTACTAAGTTACTAGCAGCTTTGTGACTTATTAACATATGGTTTCAGGTCAAATATTGCTCGTATTATTAAAACTAATTTATTTGAATCTTATATGATTAAATCTGCAGTTTAAATGATCTAAATTATACAAAATAATATACATGATTTGAGTTAGTTAGTTACTTACTTATATATATAATACATATAATTTGAGCTAAATAAAGCTATGTGAGAAAAATAAATGTGAAACAAAAACATGGCACACACGTCAGAAATTGATAATTTTTCTGTGAATTGAGCCAACAAACACTGCTTTACAAGAAAGACAATGTGAATGGTGAAATTTGAGACTTCCCCGGTCAGACAGGATTGTTTCTACTGAAAGATCACTCATAAGTCACTCGTCTTTTGCCTGAGGCTTTGGTGCCTAACAGTAAATGACCTCAGAGTCTGAGGAAAAAGGAAGTAGGTGGTGCGAGTAGAGGCCTGAAAGGAGGAGCCTCAGTGCCTGTTGTCTGTGTGGGACAGTCCTGACTCAGTTTTATCTTCATATACTTCCTGCTACACGCCACTTTAGAGACAAACACTGAGAGGAGAACATCTCAGCCACGTTTTTCTTTTAGACGTTTACTGACTTCCCTTCCTGCTGTGTTGAGCTGCTCTTAAGTTACAATGGGACTATGCAGTTCTGAGACTGACATCCAAAACTTTGCCATGCAGACAAGTTGGAAAAAGGTGAGTGCAGCTTTAGTTGCAACCATGGGCATAGCGGTTCATGGTGGTTGGGTATCTCTAAGGGGTCAAAACTGCACAGAGGGTGCATTGCAAAATGGTAAATAATCATAATTGAGAGAATTATAAGCAACAGCTAGAATGTGAGTCCGAACCTTCTTGGAGAATAGAAGTGTCTGGACCTTCCATCAAGTTTTTTGTTGCTGTATATTGTTCCTCATGGTTAGTCGTTGTTCAGGGTGTATGAAAATTTTTTCAGAGAATTTGAATATTCAAATTTGACCACTGTGCAATGCTGTGTGACCTGTACAGTTACTAAAGGAACTTCCTATCCTAGGTTAAGGTAATACTAAGGATGCATGTGTTGCACCACATGTTGGGAAATGTCCTTTGAGCTGTTCCCTTTGACTCTGGGGACAGACATGTGCTTAAACATTTCCTGTAGGCACAAGGGAGATGCTGCTGCGCTGCTTACAGAACCAATTCCTCTCATCTGCTCCCAGCATTTGTCCTCAATAGAACTCTTTCATTTTTATTGACTACCTCTGGTCTGAGCCAGGCCTTTGAAAGCTCTGTTCAACTTTCACAGTTGCGTAGATCAGAGCAGTCTGGTAAGAGTTATTAGACACTTGAGACTGGAGTGAAAGGGATGAAGGAAATATGCAGCCGTTTGACCAAATAAGATACATTTTAAAGAGTGCTTTAGTGGACTGTTGCTACATATTTAATTTTACCAGCTTTATTCCCATATTATTTCCAATAAATTGCTGTGCATAGATTTACTTGCATTTATCCATCCCATGTGCCTATAGAGCAGAATGTTCACATTTTGCTGTGATTTTACAGTAGCTCATCTGCGTTGTGACATTTCATTGAAATGAGAAAATGCAAACACAATGTGAAACCAAGGATACCAGACGATGGACCTGGCAATCTTCAGGTGAATGAAGTTTTAGATATAGTATTGCCCCTGTGGTAGCTCTGAGTCGATGAGTGCTTAAAGTGGGAATCACCCTTAGAAATACAGAGGAGCCACGTGATGCTGTTGCCATGGCGTTCAGGGGCTTCTGCTATTGGTGGAAAGCTGGTGATCTGCATTCCCATACAATGTGTATGCGTTACAACACACTCACAGAATTAAATACATTTGAGTGCACTTAGCATCATGTTGTGTCTCGAATGTTTGTATCTGTGTTAGTGATTTTTATTTTTTTTTGGTCTTTGGAGCCAAGCACACAGTAATCTGACAGAATCGCACAGATGAAGATGGGAAATGCAATTTTCAGTAAAAAAAACAAAAAAACATCAGCTCAAAACAACACAAGTGCCTGCTGTAGAGGAATCCTCCAGCCTGGTTTCTGCAGCAATTTTCTTGTACATGGCTCAGTGCACACAGAGAGAGAGGGAGTGTTGTCTGCCACAGGGGACTGCACAGCACCCCCTCCTCCTTCCTCCGCCTCTGTCTGACAGCCATTACCAGTCTGGAGTCCGGGCGGCTGGATTTCCCCTCTAAAGGAGATTTGATGGCTATTAGATATAGGCATAATGCAGATCTAAAGATTTGGAGACCATAACAGAACACGCTGGAGGACCAGAAAAGCGTAAAAGATTAAAGCATCGTTGGGGATTTCATCAGTCTTGGAGGACTGCGGCGATACAATGAGGAGACGCTTTTGTTTTTCGGGGACTTAGTACTGCATTGGACTGTGGGCAGCCGTGTTTTGGTGACAGTCAGGCTGCAGAGCTGAGCTGTGCCTTGGAGATTCTCTCAGAGAGGAGCATTCAGGGCTTCTGCTGGAGAGTGCCAGGGGGCGTACAGCTCAGCATCATGCCTGAAGCCAACTACCTGTTCTCTGTGTCCTGGGGATACATCAAGGTGTGTCCATAAAGGCTGGTTATTGTCTGATTTTGGCTGCTAAACGTTCCCTGTGTATATGATTGTTTGTTGTTTGCGACTCCAATATGTTTGTTTTTTTCTGGCATAGAAACAACAACAAAACGAATTGTGCCCTAAAATTGTACATTATCTAAACTTCACTCTTTGTGTTTGTGTTTGACCTTAGTTCAAGAGGATGCTGAACCGAGAGCTAAGCCACCTGTCTGAGATGAGCCGATCTGGCAACCAAGTGTCAGAGTACATCTCCAATACCTTCCTTGGTGAGTTTAACCCTAAGCTCAAAATATACTGATGCCTCTTCATGCAAATAGACACATGGGACATACTGCACACAGCTGAGGTTACTCAGGTTATCCATACATGTGAGAGCTGCTCCTCAACCAGTCTGATCTGGTCTATCACACAGATGGAGTATCCCCACATGCTGACGCAGAGGCAATGGAGAGGGAGGGGGCTCGGCTGGGGAAGTCTTGTGTGTTTGGGAAAGAAACCATTTTTTAAGTCATATTTAGACAGAACACAACGAACAATGTGTGTTTGATCTCTTGACAAATCTTCCTTCCCAAGACATGCAAAAGAAAGCCATTGCTGAATGAAAAAGAAATCTTGTCTGGACTCAACAGTATTGCAGCTTACACCTGTCACCTGGATGAGAATGATATGACTTTGTTGGAGATACAATACACCTGCTTTGTTTTTGTCTGACTGGACAAAAGCTCAATGTCATCTGCAGACCCCATGTGAGGGGCCAGACCCAGCCAAAGCACAAACCCACATGCAGAAAAGCTCTAAACATTTCGGCAAAACCCAAACCAGCTTTCCATTCCTCTGCGTATTGTTGTGGCTACAATTCCTCGAAAGTGACGCTGGTTGTATAACTACACAACCAAAAACATGAAAAAGACAAAACAAGTGTTAATGACTTGTACTTTTTAAACTTTTACTTTCTATGTCCTTATCTCTCATTGACTAAATCGGTGGATTGCGGTTTATTTCATTCAGATAAGAAGAACGATCTGGAGCTTCCTTGCCCTGTCCCAAAGTCGAGGGAAAGAAAACGACGCCAGGGCCCCCATCACCACCAGCACCACCACCAGCAGCAGCAGCAGAGTGGGATGATGAATCAGATCAGTGGAGTTCGAAAACTCAGCCACTCACCAAATATTTCTGGAACCACAGTGCATCGCTTTGGGGTGAAGACAGACCAGGAAGAGCTGCTGTCAAAAGTAAGCATTAAACAGCCCCTAAAGTATTCCTTAGTTGTGTGATGTGAAGGACTGTAGCTTACAGAGCTCTGTTTTTTGTTGTCGCAGGATCTGGAAGACATTAATAAATGGGGTTTGAACATCTTCAAAGTGGCAGAGCATTCGCACAACAGGCCCCTGACGTGCATCATGTACACCATTTTCCAGGTTTGTCTCACAGCATTTTTTACATCTAAATGTTTGCAAAGCCAGATTTTAGGTCAAGGAAATGTAGGTAGGGTAGGGTGTGTTCACTCTTACCAAATGTAGAGACAGTGTCGAAATGTTGAAAAACCATTTGTTACAAACTATACAGGAAGTAATGCTGAGGTGTAATGGGAAATCCCTCCACCTGTGATGTCACCAAATTCAAAATAAAAAAGAGTACAAAGGAGTTTGATTGATTGTATTTTAAGCTTATAAACAGGAATCAATTATAGAATTTACAGCAATTACATATGAATAATCATACATGATAGAAACATACATATGTACATACATCCATACAAACATTTAAAGGTTTCTTTTTATTACTCCTGTCAAAGCTAAAAAAGAAGTGGGAAGAAGTCAAATGTATAAGTTCCCATCCCCTATACATAATTCACATTATACGGTTGCACATACCCGCTCACACACAATGCATACATACACATACATAAACACGTTTTTTTCATCTTATCTTATATATAAGTTTGATTTAATGACTCCATTCGGTGCCCATCCTTCTTTTTAACTGAATCGGTGTTGTGTGCAGGAGCGAGACTTGATGCGAACGTTCAAGATTCCAACAGACACATTTGTGACTTTCATGCTGACCCTGGAGAGCCACTATCACTCAGACGTGGCCTACCACAACAGCCTGCACGCCGCCGATGTGGCCCAGTCCACGCACATACTGCTGTCCACTCCAGCTCTCGATGTAAGCGCTCACCAGACTCTGATATTTGCTCTTTGTTTAACTCTTTATGCACCAAATAGGATTGCTACATGATCTGGCATCCTACAACCAGTTCCTTTTTTGTTTTTCTTGTATTATTTAATTTATTGATTTTAGTAGCAATCTATCTCTTAAAAGGTTTCAGGGTTCAATTCACTGCAACTAAATTTTTTAATAGGCCAGGACTCAGGCTGTAGAACGAGTACTGAGGCTGGGCGGTGCATCACCTTTTGTCTGTTTCACATACAATTTCTGAAAAGGTCGTAAAGTGTTAACCTAGTTGGACTAAACTCTGCAATAATTACAAACAAACAAGTACACAATGCAGTAATTTGTCTTTTGAGCACCGCGCCCTCACCCTGACCTGTTTTTGTTTATGTAAGATCGGGTTTGCTGCCGTCATCAGGTGTTTTCAAAACTGAATTTTAACAATGAGTGACACATGATGAAACCGGGACAGGGCACAAACCAGTCTAGTTCAAAATATTTCCTTATATGGTTCGTTCATGAAGCGAGACATTACAATGCTTTCTTCTCTTTATGTCCAGGCGGTTTTCACGGATCTGGAAATCTTGGCGGCCATTTTTGCTGCTGCAATTCATGACGTGGATCATCCTGGCGTCTCCAACCAGTTTCTCATCAACACAAGTAGGTTTTTCATATTGAGTTTCTTGTATTTAACCATGATTTTAAAATTTATATGGTGGCCTTTATCTTTCTTATATTTATACTTATATTTGTGTGATGTCAATGAATACCGAGAATAAGCATACATTCTTACTTGAGTGTCTCTAGGCGGATCTCAGCATATACTTTTACCCTATAAAATCAATTTCGTTCATTTTTTTCATGTATATGTTCATTCCAAAAACCAGCATTAACATAATTTTACAACAGAATAATATAATAAATACACAAGGTTTGGAAAGGGGGTTGGCTGAAGCAATCAATACATTTGATCCAAAACCTGTAGAGCCCATTTTAGCAGAAAAATGATCAGAATAACTTGGTGTTGAAAAGGGGTTGGATAATGCACAAGCGTATAAACTTACATCATTGGCAACACTATTGATGGATTTTAGTTTAGCTATTTCATCACATTGCATTAGTTTTCCTTAAATCGGATAAAGGATGTAATGTAGATTTAACTATATAATAATAATGCATTGTCTCTGCCCCTCCTCCATAGACTCCGAGTTGGCGCTGATGTACAACGATGAGTCAGTGTTGGAAAACCACCACCTGGCCGTAGGCTTCAAGCTGCTACAGGAAGACAACTGCGACATCTTCCAAAACCTCACAAAAAAGCAGCGGCAGACACTGAGGAGGATGGTCATAGACATGGTGAGCCCCTACGCTTGTGTTTTTTAAATGGTATCCTAAGAAAAACGCTTCCTAATCCTTTTGCGTTGACGTCATTCTCATTCTCATTCATTTACCGTTACCGTGTAGGTTCTGGCAACAGACATGTCGAAACACATGAGTTTGCTGGCTGATCTCAAAACTATGGTGGAGACGAAGAAGGTGACGAGCTCTGGGGTTTTGATGCTGGACAACTACACAGACAGAATGCAGGTAAATGACAGATTACAATTTTACAAGACCGATCAATTAGACATAATATTAATGCTGTTTTTATTTAGGTTTTGCGTAATATGGTTCACTGTGCGGACCTCAGCAACCCCACCAAACCTCTGGATCTGTACCGACAATGGACGGACAGGATTATGAATGAGTTCTTCCATCAGGGAGACAGAGAGAGGGAGAGGGGGATGGAGATCAGCCCTATGTGCGACAAACACACTGCTTCTGTGGAGAGAACTCAGGTATACAACCACTTCATGTGCACATTGATGATTACTGACATCTATCAATGTTTGAACAATTAGAAAACATTGATTGGTTTGGAGTTAATAGGAAATTTGATGCAACTAAACTGAATCCATAGACTGTACATAGGAATGGACGATTCTAACTCTGTAGTCCTCTTAATTTGTAACTAATTGGTCACAGTCTTAATTTTGAGCTTTACATGATGCTGGTGTTTATAACAATGTCTTCACTTATCTTATCAGGGGCCTTCTGTCATCAGATTTGACAGAATTTGGGAAGTAGGGAACAGCCCAGCACTGCTCTTGATTGGTTCTTTGGTTGCTAGGTAGTTACCATCCCCGAATTTGCCTCCAGATTCCCATTCTTAGAGTTTGAGTTTGAGTTCTTCTACAATAAGGCAATCACTAAGTCCACCCCTTCTACAGTGTCTATGAATCCCTCTTGCAGGAGCCTTTTAAGTTCTTATAATGTAGTGGTGCTTACGTTGCTTGCTTTTGCTGACACACATTTATGCTCTTTCTTTTTTTGTTTCTAGGTGGGCTTTATCGATTACATTGTCCACCCGCTTTGGGAGACATGGGCAGACCTAGTCCATCCAGACGCCCAGGACATTTTGGACACTTTGGAGGACAACCGGAACTGGTACCAGAGTATGATTCCGCAAAGCCCTTCCCCCCCATTTTACACCAGCGACGTAGAAGGAAATTCTCAAGGAGAGCTGGAGGAGTGCACCATGTCCACCAAGTTCAAATTTGACTTGACAGTAATGGACCAAAGTGGACAACCTGGACAGAGGGACAGTGGGACTATGCACGAGGACGCTGGTGACTTGCCAGATCAAGCATGTGATGAAAGTCAAGATGCAGAGACATAGCAGAACATTTTTGAATCAAAGAAGGTTTTTGTCGTTTTATTGCAGTAGAGAAATCCTGCAATGTGGCTTTTGAAGCTGCCTGGCACAGAGGGGCAGACTGTAAGCCCCTGCCAGTGAGGCTGGGAAACCCTTGAGCGGTTTGTTTTGAGCAGCGTAGAAGCGGCGCAATGAGTGTGTCCTCTGTTCGGCAGACGAGGGACTGCTGCTGATGGCAGAGACCACGCTGGAGGCTCCTCACAGTCCAGAGGACAATATATATGTATTACACAACATGGGACGGTTTTAAACTTGCACTTCAGGACATTTTGACATTTTGTTTTGAACAGTGTATCGGGAAGGGATTTTCATTGAGTGTTCAAACCATGCAACTGGTCAAAGTTATTTATAATCCCAATAGTTTTTGTCTACAAAGTTGTGTTCCTTCTTTATAATTTATTGAACATGTCATGTAGCTGTATTAATTAGCACATTTTTCTACCAATATCAAGAGGACATTGTCACCTCGCAGTCTTCCCAAATTATCAGCAATAGCTTGAGCTTGTTCTTATAAAACAGTTTTGCACTTTTGGATCAGAAATAACTGCTGCACAAACAGCGATACAATGTTCATTCACCAAAATAAGACTGTTTTTATTTGTGTAAGCAGTGAATAATTATTCATCAACAGAAATATCCAAAGAATTTTTACATCAGGCACTTTAGGAGTTCAGTGCTTCCTTAAAACTCAAATGTTGGAGCCCACTAAACTGTAGCCTGAGTTTTGAGTCCAGGAAAATGAATGACCTTGTTTAATACCGAACCTTTTCTATTACGGAAAATGTGTTCCTACTTTGTAATTTCCCCTTGTTAGCTCACGCACCTGTTGCGGTCAGGGCTTTTAAAACATTCCTTTTTCATGAATCGTGCTTTACACATTACTCATTTTGAACTCCGAGTGACTGGAGGCAGCGCTCTCATGTTAAGACACCTGTTCGCTTGGTGCATAATAATTGTAGTCATTGTACCCTTTTTTCTGCAGCACTTTGAACTTTGAATAAGCGGGCAGTTGTGCAGCTGGTTGCACATCTGCCTGACACTACCTTAAAGGTACCGTGACGTGAGTGATTGGGGGAGTTTTTGTCATATCAAAACCTGACGTCTCCGTGCGTGTGCACGCATACGTGTGAATGTGGTCACAATGTTGCACAATCCTGTTGCACCCAGTTATTTGTAAAGTGTATTTATTACCTTCTATTATATTGATAATAATTAATATTTACTGGGTATTTGCTATTTATACTAGTATGCACTACAGTATCACAAACTGAACTGGCCCTTGTGTGTTGGCTTTTGCTCGACCATAACATCATGCTCAGTGTTCCAATGTGTTTGATGTAGGCCTCATTTTGTATAGAGTCTACCTTTTTTATTCTTTACATTGAATGAAGGTGTACAGTGACAGGTCATCGTACAGCCAGGAATATTCACTGATTTCCCCCAGTGTTTTCATAAAGAAATCTTGAATCTGTTGATCTTGTGTTCAAATGTTTTGTAATCAGTTTATTAAAATGGGCATGTACTTCATATTGTTTCATTCTCTGTTATTTAATTTATAGCCGAACATTGATGATACTAGTTTGGCAATTATCAGAACTGTGTAAAGGACATAATGATATTAAGAAGAGATAAAACGTGTATTGATTCACATTTTGAGCTAAAATTGGCTGAATTAAAAATGTCTACTTTATCACTATTGCTACATTAGCACCATAAACAATGTTTGTGCCACAATCACAAGTAAATGTTATAGACAAACAACAGGTTATAGCCAGTGTAGGTAGTAACAAAAAAAGTAACTAGTTACTTTTTGAAGAACACACATTTGCATTACTACTATAATCACAGTAACTCAAGTTACACATATGTGGTTTCATATTATCTCGAAGAATTTCAAAGTAACTCACACTTACAGTACAATACTTACAGCATCAATCAAATAACACAAGACGCTACACTTGGGTCACTGTCTCTCCTCCACAAAGTTTTTTAAAAGTGTTTTAAATTCAAATGAAGTTTAAGCGCAAATTCAGAGTGGAAGACATGAGAACCCTGCTGTTACCCACAGCAACAGCAATCAGTCAATCACACTCAGCTGCGCAACACCTCACGCAAATCCTCACCTGCAGCAATCAGGCACTGCCCCCATCAGCTTCATATCACGCAGAAGCTCCATCCAAGCAGCAGCTCCATTCATGCCGCAACCCTCCTCCTCCCCATCTCCGCTGTTCCAGGCCAGCTCCTTCATCCTTTTCTTATCTACCACCACCAGGGTCTAGGCCCCGGGGGATTTTATCTCATAATCTCTTTCCCCTTCTGCAATCGTGCAGTGTTCTGCCGGGGTCTAAGCGCCAAATCCCAACCACATTCTGTTCAGCACAATAACTGTAATCTTGAAAATACTGTCTTTAGTGTCATATGTGTAATTATGCAGCGTCAGATTACCTGCCAATCAGCATACAATTCTAATACTATGTTTTGCCTGTTTGAGTCTCTCCAGATTGAATCATGTTTTTCATGTAATAATGTAATTCTTCTATCAAATTGTTCTACATTTTACGCTCTACGCAAGAACATTCTGGGTTGGATTCCATCTCCCTTTTCTTGTGGAGTTTGCATGTTCTCCCTGTGTCTGCTCCGGTTTCCTCCGGGTGCTCCAGTTTCCCCTACCACTAAAACATGTACTGTGAGTGTGACTGTGGGAGTACAGATGGAAAGTAGTTTATGAACTCCAATGCTTTGGGTCTGCAGGACAGTGGGTCACATGAATGACATGAGGGTCGCGATTGGCCCGCGGGCCGGACTTTGGACATGAGCACTTTGACTCTGATAAACCAACATTCACGCTCTTCTCTAAATCAAACACAGCTGTAACAGGTTTCCTGGTCATAAAAACGTGCACTTTTATACAGACACGTGAGCGCTGGCCTCATAGGGGCTCTGCAGGAGAAAGTTGTCAGATAAACATCCACAGACGGTCAGCTGAGTTTTCCATAGAGGCGCTTTATGGTCTGAGGCTGCACTGCTATAAACTTCAACACGTGCTGTATCCAATGGAAGCAGAGGACATGAGGACAAGGTTGTGGCAAATCACCGGACACAGACTTTAAAACATCTGTAAAATTAATTATTAATTCAGTTTCATCATAATTAAAATACAATTATTGTGGTGTTAAAGCGTTACTATTCAACTACTTGCAGAGTTCATTATTATTGGTTGGCAGTGACTTGTGAAATCTCCCAAACTATTGTCATGTTAACTATGCTTCATCAGCCCAACATTGGTCAGTTGAAATGTAAAAATAGTCTTACTGATTCCTCACACCACTGTGCATTTGTTTGAAGTAATATTAGCCTATTTACACAGTCCCAGATTACTGTTATGTGAATGTGCACTTGAACACACCAGTCAACTTCAGATGAATCCTTTTCCTTGGACTGAAGAGGGATCTGATCTCAGCAAAGATAACTTATACATCATCTTATATAGCTTATATGCTACTAGCTTCAGTGAGCTGGGAACAAAAGAGTTAATGTCAAACCCAGTGTAAGTGTAAGTAGACTCACTCAGAGAGAGCCTGAGGCGAGGAGCCTGACAGGAAGAGAAGCACTTCCACCAAAACAAACTCCAAACCCCTATTCCAAAACAACAGCTTTCCAGAGAATCAGTTTCTGCTGTTTGTTGGTAGTTAGTAGTCAACACAGTTTTCGGAAATTACAAATTCTACTGGGATTTTAGAATGGCAAACATCAAGAGAGAGTCTGATGGTTTCAAAGTGCAGTGTCCTGCTTCAAAAATAACTCAAAAGATAAGATGTGAGATGTCACACACTTCCTGACCTCAGTCCTCCCTCTTTCTGACACAAGACAAATTTGACTATTGTTCATAACGGTTTTCCCTTTTCCCTACATTCTCCGTCTTACTATTGTAAAATGGTATGGTTCTGGCTGCTCTGGCTACATAATGGTACAAAGACTTTTATGAACATGTGATGGTATAATGTTTATGGTTTTTTAATACATAAATTAAATAAATAATTATTTAATAAATAATTTTAATAAATAAGATCAGGTTCAGAATTTGTTTGGAAGAGCAGGCTGTTATAAGGACTCTGGGCACTGGGCTGGCATTTGTGTGGACACCTGGGGTATTTACCCAGCATGCAGTGTGCCTGTGATGTGTGGCAAATAGAAGGGCACATCCCTGTGGGAGGACCACAGCAGATACACAGCTTATTTACTGCACTGACCATAATGAGATGTAACACTGAAGATGTGAATGGTCACTCAGAGATACTGCTCTCAGGGCAGTTTATCAAGAGGAACAAAGCTCAGTTGTCCTAGGGTCCATTGTCTGAGGGCTATGATTGAAATATACTTCTAGTCACAGTATATTAAAGATGAGCAAACGTGTTGGTAGACATACAGAATAACAGTAAAGGAAGTTGGTAACTGGAAAAAGGTCATGAGAGGCATTTTCTGAATAAAGGAAGACAAATCTGTCCGGGAAATGGGAGGCGATTATTTGATCTGGTCACGCTGCGTGAAAGTGAAATTGGGGTAAAATCAGGTTGATGGCAAATGCTCAGGTCATGAATGAGTTCAGATCAATACTGTCCTCATTGACATGAGATAAGGCAGATACAGAGGAGCTTTTACAGTGAGGATTGCTGTTTCAAGAGTGACTGGCATCTGGAGGCACACAGAGGTCTCAAACAGAAAGGTCAAGGGAAAAGGTTAACCATTCATTACTGCCATGGGAGTAAACTGTACAGATTCTTAATATTATTATCATTTAGTGCATTCTGAAGTCAACATATGTCTGTCCCATTTTTGACCTTCATATGCCTATTTCATCAATGTGGATCTAAAGTAAGCAATGAGATAAGCTATTTTTAGTAAACAGCCTATTACAGTAAACCATTTATTTAAGTGTATCCTCACAAGTTTCAAATAATCTACCATCTTCCTCTGTGCCCTCCAGTGTTGATGTTAGCAGTCTGCCTCATTTATCTGAAACATGGCCTCCTGCACGTTCACCAGTGATGCAGGGCACAGATTAGAAATCCTGTTTTGACTATTTTTAATTTGTTTGTAAGATTCAGATAAGTCACATCACGTAATTAGTGTGTGAGAGTGTGCATTGGTTGAAAGTTCAAAATATGGGCCTGCGATGTCTGCATGTAACCCAAGCAATTTGACCTATATTTAAAGTTACAGAAAAGATAACAGTTAAGTTAAGGCTCAGCCAGTTAAATGTTTTCTGACTGATATAGATAATGCTCCTGTGAAAAAGATCAAACATGATACACACGTCTGTTTTAGCGAACTCCAAGCACCTTTTCCACTGGATGTTGGCTGGCATACAACAAAGTCATTTTGGAACTGCAAAATGTTATCTTTCTTGAAGACTACTGAGCAATTGAAAATGAACATTAGCCAGGGAAAATGCAAGAGAGCTTTGAAGTCATGCTCATTAGTCTGTGCCTTTTAAGGCCACTAGGGAAACACGTGTTACTGATACTTTCCTCTTATTCTGTGGACTTTTACACTGCAGATGAGAGGCCAATGGAGTATGTCAAAGGCAAGGCTGAGTAACCTTCTGAGTTAGCCTTGTGCCATTATTTCAGCTTCCAACAACCATGTCTTTAATTTCTTAAACTTTTGAATTTATAATTTATTTGTATACAATGACAGGTCACTGTGCAACCTTCTATAATGGCTAAAAAGAAACACTGATGGTCATTTCTGTATCACTTTCAGGGTAGGATTAGTGAGTTGATGCAGGGAGTTACGTGGGGCCAGGATCAGTCACTGTGCCCCAAAGCAGCGTGAGGTCTGGACTTCACTATTTTCTTTTAGTTTAACGTAAAATGTCTAATTGAAAACAAGCAAACAAAAATAAAAAAGCAACAACAAAAACAGGGTTATTCATTAGTTAACGCATTCCACAGAGAGTATAACGTGTAAACAGAGTGTATTAAATAGTAGAGCTCTGTGATTCTTTTTAGATGTTTTTGTTTGTTTATGAAAATGTTTTCCCCACTGTGGAACAAATAGAATATCTCTTCATCTTAATTTTACAATACTGTTAATAACAACTATGCAATTTTGATATTTGCATTTTCATGGCCATATAAATCCCACATTGTTCTCACATAGGCTATGCCCCATATGGTCTATATGTCTGCTTCCATACGGTCTATATGTCTGCAGCGATATCATAATAGAGCCATGGTCTTCTCCAATACGGTCTTTACTGCCTCCTTGTGGCCAGAGTGAGAATAACCTGCAGTGCCTCATAGCTGTCGCTGGATGTCGCTGTGGAGCGGACAGCACAGAGGCAGAAGTCTCCAGCTGATTCAGGCGCCATCTTTGTCTGAACATAAACAACATCATCGCCTCGCGTTTGTCCGTCAGAATCTCTCCTCTGCACACAAGTGTCCTGCCGCTGTCGCCCATGTTTGGTACAGGAGAAGAGCCTTTCGGCGCAGGCTGGAGGGGTCGTGTCCGTTAGGTAAAACACAGGGGACAATGCCTTCGGGCTTGGCTCATGTTGTATATATATATATATTGTTGTGTGCGCAGATGATGCCATGACAACGGTGCGACTTTCTTCATTGCACGTGAATATATTTGATCATTTTATAAAACAGGTTTAATGTGATATTGTTAATGTGTCAAGGCCTAGATTTAGCTGAAAGGCCCACTGTTTAATAATGAATTATTATTCCCTGGTGCGCAGACTCCACTGCAGGCAAACAGCGCACTGGGCACATCATGAATGCGCACAGAATGAGTAACATTTACGGGTTATGATAATACAGATGATAATGCTTTGATTCTCTCTCATCAGAAATGGGAATCCCGAGCGGGTTTCCTCGCCGGGGGGAGGAGGCGTGAGTAGGGGAGGGCAGTGACAGGCCACACACTGAAGATGGACCAAGAATACGAGAGGCGGTTACTGAGGCAGATAAACCACCAGAACCTCCCAGAAGAGGCCCGTCTGACCAAGGTGAAGACACTCAAACACTGCAGTCACACTGGCTATCTGTTGGCAATATTGGTTTTGGCTTAAGACATAGCTTCAGTAAGGGTGTACTATAAGCGAACAAAAAAAAACTAAAATGGGACAATGCTGGGAATAAATAATTATTATCACCATATAGGGTGTTAAATGTACTCCTGTTGTCCACTGTGTACAGTGCCTTATGTCAACAACAGAGAGTCAACATGTTGATATTACTTTTCTTTTCTTCAATAGTGTGTAAGTGCAACCTGCAGTCCTCTCAGTGTTAGGTCTGGAGACCGCTTCATTCCCACCAGAGCTGGAAGCAACTGGAGCATAAACTTCCATTATGCAAATGTAAGATTGAATCTCATATTATAGAAAGGGGACAATCAAAATACTTAAAGATATTGTATTTTAGGAGAATTTTCGATCTCCCAGTCAAAACCGTAAAGCAAAGGATACAAGTTCAGACTCAAGTAAAGGTGAGATTTTATCCTAAACTTTACACCTTGCTGTTAAAGATGGATGTCAAATCATTATAATTTCTGCAGATGCTGTGGCCTATGCTGCCCTTTTAAGAAATGAGTTACTTGGAGCAGGCATTGAGACTGTTCCAGACCCTCACACAGATGATAGGCATAATCCGGTGCTTTTTCAAGACTCCCTTAGTCTTTTTAAGGTAAAAACAAAAAACCTCTTAATTACATTTATTCAGTCTTTCATATGATAAGAATTTGATCAATGACTAAATTGTTTTCCAGTACACTGTCCATTCAAAGAGAGTGCCTTCTAATTGTGATAATGAAATCTCACCATACTCCCTTTCTCCACTTAGTAATAAAAGGTAATATGTCAATGTTAATAGCTTTTGTTTTGACTACATTCTACAAATCAGGTGTGTTTCCACAGTCACAAGCTTCTACGCTCCCCTCGAAAACCAGCTCGTAAGATCTCAAAGATCCCCTTCAAAGTGCTGGATGCTCCGGAGCTCCAGGATGACTTTTACCTCAACCTGGTGGACTGGTCGGCTGGGAACCTGCTCAGTGTGGGGCTGGGGGCCTGTGTTTACCTGTGGAGTGCCTGCACAAGTCAAGTCAGTAGCTGAAATAAAGAAAAAGGTTATGTGCTTTGGTTAATACCTTTGTTTTGTGGCTTCAGGTGACACGGCTCTGTGATCTGTCAGTGGATGGGGATTCTGTTACGTCCGTCTGTTGGAATGAGAGAGTGAGCTTTACACCTTTGTGACATTCTGCAGTTGTAATACAGATTCTTCAATGTGAAACATGTTATTGACTCCATCAGGGAAGCCTTGTTGCAGTTGGAACACATAAAGGATATGTTCAGATCTGGGATGCAGCAGGAGGCAGGAAACTCACAAGTTTGGAAGGACATTCAGCTCGTGTAGGTGAGTTTCTGTTCACACATATATATATATAGTAGAAAACAACCATAAAGAATTGCAACTTCATGTTGCATAATCACATTATTTAAACTGCTATTTGATATTTTTCTGTTTACTTTTCCAAGGTGCCCTTGCATGGAACGGAGAGCAGCTCTCCTCTGGAAGTCGTGATAGAGTCATCCTGCAGCGGGACGTGCGGACGCCGCCTACAGCCTTTGCAGAGAGAAGGCTTCAGGGACACAGACAAGAAGTGTGTGGGCTTAAATGGTCTCCTGATCACCAGCACCTGGCGTCTGGGGGCAATGACAACAAGGTAGATGTTTACTGTATTCTAGAAACTCTCTGTGATCACATTATAGAGTCTACAACACATTCATCCTCAGCTGCTGGTGTGGAACAGCTCCAGCCTCCTGCCTGTGCAGCAGTACAGTGATCATCTGGCTGCAGTAAAAGCCATCGCCTGGTCTCCGCACCAGCACGGACTCCTGGCCTCAGGGGGCGGCACAGCAGACCGCTGCCTCCGCTTCTGGAACACACTGACGGGACAGGCCCTTCAGAGCACTGACACCGGCTCACAGGTGTGCAACCTGGCCTGGTCTAAACACGCCAATGAACTGGTGGGTATTCTCTCCCTCAAACAACAGTGTGTTTACCAATTCTTGCTGTATTAGATATTTGTGTTTGTGATAGGTGAGCACTCACGGCTACTCCCAGAATCAGATCCTTGTGTGGAAATATCCAGCGCTAACACAAGTAGCAAAGTTAACTGGCCACTCCTACAGAGTTCTTTACTTAGTAAGAAACACTTTTTATCCAGTTTTGTTTGTTGTTGTCATCCCTTCTGTACCCTCATATTGGTGTGTTTTTCTGCAGGCCGTATCTCCTGATGGTGAGGCCATTGTTACTGGTGCTGGGGATGAGACCCTTCGTTTCTGGAATGTTTTTAATAAAACATGCTGCACAAAGGTATTGAATTATTTACATTTGCTAACATTCAAAAGCACATTTTGACCACATGTTTGTGTTTTTTTAGGAATCAAAATCAGTGTTGAACTTGTTCACAAGGATCCGGTAGGGGCTGGTTTTCTTCACTTCACCGGGAGGAGTTTTAAAAGCTATAATCCAGATGAACACTGACAGGTCACAACCATGAGACCGTTAGACAACTTTGTTACAGACACTTTGAGGACATTCTCAGCCGTCACCAGAATCTTCCACACTCCGTAAACAACCACAAGCGTAAAGACTCTAATTTAATTGTTTTATGAAAAGTATATGTACCACAGATGTAAGCTATAAGGTCTAAAATGATGTTGCATTCAAATGGATACATCATGAAGTCATCAAGTGGAAAGACTTGATTACATGAATTTTAATATTTTGATAACTACAACAATATACAATTCAAACAATAAATGTCTCAACATCTCAGCAGTTATGTCTTTCACAATAAAAGATTATCATTTTTTAAAGTAAAAGTGTATTTTGAATATGAAGCCCACTTCCTATTCAATTATGAATTTTACAAGTTTAAAACTCTGAGTGTCCAGAACCCTGTAAACCTCTACAGAGAAGAGAAAACTCCTTTACAATCTCTTTACAGCGGCGCTTGTTTTGCTCCCTAAAAAAAGATGTTGTTCAGATGTTAAATTACGCACAATATTGATAGTTGTACTTTGTATTCTATTAAAACTGGAGTACCTCACTTTGTAACCACAAAAACGACTGTATGTAATAAAATTCATGTAACTAGTTCTTCATCTTCACATACATGTACAGGTGATACTCGAAAAAATTGAATATTGTTTAAATGTGACACAAATATATGATCGTATAATGTCATAACTACAATGTTGAAACGTTTCACCTGTACTTTCATGTTTTTCAGTTAAAAAGAGTTCCAGCTCTCACTCAGCCAATCAGCTAACATAATTATGAATAAGATAAAGACAGGGGTCTGAAATGTTACTTAAACAAGATGGGACATGTATTTATGAAACAAAAAGAAGTGCGGTACTCCAGCATTAATGGTCACAATTTTAGAGTTACCCCAGAAGCTGCTGTGTGAACCGGTGTTTCTGCTCCAAGGAGACATGGGAGGAGGGGAAGCCCGCCACCTGCAGCGAGTCTCCAAGCCACTGGGACAACAGAGCAGGGCACTGTCTGTTCAGACTCAGTAGGACCTCTGCAAAATGTTCTGTTAGACTGCGAGGGGCCACTCCACCTACACTCTGCAACAAAGACAACAGTAATAATAATATCAAAAATGTTTTTTTGTAGAGGGCAACACAAAGCGCCTCACAACCAATATCACATAAGGCATAAATCATAAACATTAAAATCTACATAAACAAAAAAACATACAATTAAAATCCCACAGGGCATTAAAACAAACAAGGAATATTAAAGTAAGTAAGTAAGTAAGCTTTATTTATATACCGCCTTTCACAGACCAGAGTCACAAAGCGGTTTACAATTGTTATTTTTTGGGCACTTGTCCTCTCACTCCACACAGAGATGGGAGCAGGGTCGCCGAACAGGAGGCGCATGCCAGATCTATTGTACATATTTTTAGTGGTAGGGGAAACCGGAGTACCCGGAGGAAACCTACGCAGACACAGGGAGAACATGCAAACTCCACTCAGCAAGGCCCTGGTCCGGCCGGGATTCGAACCCAGGACCTTCTTGCTGAGAGGCGAGAGTGCTATCCACTCAGCCACCGTGCCGCCCAAAAACATAAACATTAAAATCACACAAGTTCAAAACCTTAAAACATTGGATTTGGGATTAACATTAAAATCATAACTGTCCACAGTGCATTAAAAAGAGTAAGTTGTAAACAAAGCAAACCAACTGTTTTTAACTTGGATTTAAAAACTGTCAGAGTAGACGCCTATCTCACATTTTCAGAAAGACTTCCAGATTTTGCGGCACAAATCTGAAATACTGCCTCCTCATGTCTAGTCCTAATAATGACACTGCTGGTACTCATGAATATACTGTACCTCCAGTATTGTTTCTGTCAATATCTTCCCATCAATTTCCAACAATTCCGGAAGCTGTGGCATGTCCTTGTAGCGATTCAAGAGTTCAGTCTGCAAAAAACAAATTCAGTTTAACCTGATGTTACGTTACAGTCTAATCTAAATGCCGTTTCTCAATCACTTACAAAGAAGTGGCTGGAAGCTTTAACGGTTTGGTTTTCTGGAAATTTAAGCGACATTATACCTGAAAGAGTAGAATAGGATTTTGCCGTAAAAAAATTTGAAGTCTGAATTATAGACAAGTGACAATGGCACGTACCACAGTAAAACAGAGCTTTTAGGTCCATCTGTTCTGAAAGATACAACTCTGGCTTTCTTTTAAGTATCTATTGATTTAAATGATAGACATAGTTAAGATTTTTTCAACATTTATACAAAATTTGAGTAATGTGAAACCAACTTGTGCATGGAGGCACATAAACGATTCGGCAATATCGGGATGATCTCTCGGTCCTAAGCCAAATGTAAAGGTTTTGTTACAATAAATACATGGAAAATGTGAAAAAACAAATTGACTTTCACCTTTTTGAAATAATACAAGTGTCGCCGAGGATAAAGCATCCACTAGATACTTGATATTTGAAAGGTAATGCTCCTCTCCAGCAAATATATGAACCATCTAAAACATAATGTAATGGATCACTGTTGTCTACTACATCCCATGAAGTAGAATTGTGTTTGTGGAGTTGTACCTGGCGAGCGAGGTCTAGAGCAGAGGCTTGTGGGTAAGCGCTGTAGATGTGCACGAGCATTTCACTCAGCTGAGCAACCATTGGTCCAAAGTCGTGTAGGAGGGTCCTCATGGCCTTATCGAACACCCCACACACTGCCTGGGGAGGAGAGGCGGACAGTCACTCATGCACAGACATCCCACACGGGCATCGGGAACCCACCTCCACAACGTCTGAGTCATCCAACCACTTGCTCAAGATGCTCTGGATTAATTCAAACATTTGCTGCAGCAATACCACCACCTGCACAAATCACAAGTACAGGACAATGTAAAGATATATCTGTTATTGAGAGCTTCACGTGTCAGATGAGCTACTCACTGGGTTTGTTGTGGATGTTTCTGCGCTGGTTTCTCCTTCTAAAGCTTCAAGGTCTTGGTTGACATCCAGAGTGGTGAAGAGGTTGGCGAGCATGCCAAAAATGTGAATGATGGCTTCTTTCATTTTAGAATTGGGCTATGAAAAATGAATGCATGTTACTATTTATCTGAGGAGCTCCAAAAAAGGACCGTGCATCTACCTCCTGCTGTGTTAGTTGCTGGAGTTGCTGGATATTTGGAGCAACGAGTGACCTGAGGTGGCCCAAGATCTCGTCTTCAGGCAACCCAGACAGAAGGAATCCCAGAGCCTGCATGAGCCACATGCACTGGCTGCTCTGAACATAAACACACAACATAACTGAACAAAAGTTGATACATTTAAGTTGAAGAGGTCTGTGAGGTCTGACCAGTGCTGTCTACTCACCTTATGGATATCCTTCAGCAGCACATCCTAAAACAGTGAACTAAGTCAACACACTGTTTATGAACATATAAACTGCCTTTAAGTCAAATTACAAGTGACCTGGGACACAGTCAGGATGTTCCGAGAGAAGGGCGCCAGGTCATGTCTGCACTCTCTGCAGATCCTTTTCAGTGTGGACACACTAGACACACTCAGCTCAGGCTTCACCAGGCCCTGAAGCACCATGGGTAAAACACCACTCAACATCACAGGGTGGTCTGCCAGCCACTCGGCCAAAGATCCTGGATAATATAGAAAACTATTACATTGTTCATGTTATCATGCTTACAGATTAAATTACACGTACCTATTGTGTACATAACCGTGTCAGCCAGCATCACGTTGCTTATGTTGATACTGGGAATTAAACCAATTAAACCAGGAATAACATCAGAATAGTTTACATCGATTGTCTCAGCAATGGACTGGAAGCCAAACAACAAAGCTTCTGTCTCCTGCACAGAGCGTGGTTTATGCGAGTCAAATTTGTTGTACATATGAAGCAAAACTTATCAACAGATGTAATATGTAGTAGTCACATATGAGATTAAGTGTTCACCTGCCATGCAGCAGATTGTTGAGGATCCACAAGTTGCCTCCCGAGTCGGTCATAGAGGTTACTGAGAAGTTCAGCTCCCAACATTTCATACACATACATCAGGGTGTCAGAAATGTCCACCCTGCAATGATTAATAAAGCTATTCAATCTGAATATAAGTAAGAATATGTAACTCCTAACAGTGTCTGACCTGTAAATCCTGAACTGTTCTTGGTCATCAGATGACCAGGAGTCATACTCCTCTTGGCCAGGATAATGAGATTTAAGCAGCAGCACATCTACGAGCTGGAAGTAAACTGGGCGATAAACCTGCAAATACGCTGTCTGCTTTCCCTCTTCAAATGATAAAATGTCATCCTAAAGAAAGAAAACACAAGTGAATCACAGTAGATAATTAGTGTGAAATGCTGTATAGTACCTGCAGGGTGTACCAGAAGGTGAGTGTGAGCGAGCTGGTGGTCTCGCTGACAGGGTAGTGTCCGGGCATCCCTGTGCAGAACAGGATCATGTTCACTAAGGACAGGTATTCTTGCCAGCGGTCCACCTGCTCCAACAAGACTCTGTGTGCACAGTTCAATTTCGATTCAAACTTCTTGTATAGCCCTGAATCACAACAGTAGTTATTTTGAATTTTCAAACACAGATCAGGTTAAAACAGTTCAAACACAAGAAATTCAATGATTAAAAAAAAGAGCCATTGGTCCATTAGTGGCAGATAACCAAAGTCCATAAATGTCAAGTCTGAAGGAAGTAGTCTACTATGCAACATGAATGGTCTTAACTCCCATAACTTCCAGACTATAAGCTGCTACTTTTTTTTAAATCTAAACTAATCTTTAATTAAAATCTACTGAATTTACTTTCTTTTCAAATGTTTCTGTTGTGGTTTATATATAAACAAATACAGGTGTGCTTAATAGTCCAGAAAGTATGATACCTAGAATGAGTCTCTCCCATTGCCACAGCAATACGACAGATCCCATGTGAAGTCTCCATGTCGCCGTCCTGAGCAGACTTCTTCAGCTGCTCGTGAAGCCCCAGGACCCACGGCAGCAGGTTCAAAAGAGCCTCGGTATATCTGGACCAAAACAAAGCGGATTTTATAATGCGTAAACCCGGCTGCACAATGATAACTTTTTTGGATTTGTTTGCAGTGTCATGCCCAATAAGTACATCATCAGAGATCTCAGTGGTTGTTAAGTAGAAAAATAAAAAAAGCGATGGAAAATAACATACCTTTGACAGTCTGGTTGTGAGATGGCTGTAACAATAGTCTCCACGGCTGTATCAAAAATCTGTGGATTTGACAGTTCCCCAAAACAGTCCTGAACCAGCTCATAAGTCTGTCCAAGAGGTACGTCCAGTCCTACCCAGCTGGACAAACACCGCAGCACCTTCTCCTTTGCCTGGTCGGAAGAGTCCTGGCTCTGGAGCAGCTGTCTCAACATGGGACTAACACCTGACCACTCCCTAATGAGGGCCTCTCGGAGCTGGACCCGGCGTGTCTGGGTCAGCCTAGAGCTCTGAAACTCCTCCGGAAGAACCGTAAAGATCTCCAACAAAGCCAAGCAGTGCGCCTGAGGGCTGACATCTGTGCCAATTTCACAGGCTGGTTTCTGTGGCTCAAAAGCCCTCACCATGTCTGCCACCGGATGAGGCCAAGAATGAGGAATCAAGTTTAGAGTCAAAGAGGCCAAAGCCACGCAAAGTCGCGTCAGGACCATTTTAGGACCTGAAGAGAACTGCAGGATGTGGGACATGAGTTGGGACTGGAGGCTCTCGTGCTGCTCAGAGGGGAGGTCGTCCCAGTGACGGGAAATCTTAGTGTGGAGAGTACTGGCTCCGAAAAACTGAACTTCTGGGATCTGAAGAGAAAAAGAAAATTGTACATATAACTGTACATTAATTGTGGAAAATATTATGCAAAGTTCAAGAAAATATTTCACTTTGCAGAAACAAAATATTGTTTAAATTCTTTAATTTCCGACCAGTGCAAAAGTATTTACCATTTATTTAGCCAGAAGATTTGGATGAACAGAAGCAATATTACTTTTTGAATGTGCTGGAAAACGGCTGCAAGTCCTAAGTAGCTCTGAAACAGCTGCTTAGTGCTTTAGATTTTTTCTACCTGAGATGTTGGTGCTGTACAGTGTTCATGGTTTTACACTGGTCCAGACCGGAGCAGAGAGGATTCATGGTCCGAACCAAGCGGATCATGTGAAAATCCACTGTAGGAATGCTAACTTTTTGAAAAATGCTAATAGAGCATTTCACATTTTGCTTTGGACTAGATCAGAGACAATGCGGCTACTCCACCTTCTGACCTGTCCTGCTCCACCCAGCAGCTACTCCATCTCTGCTTCTGTGACCTGAAGGCCTGTGGCTAATTAATACTATTATTAGCTTTTTAGAATGATCAATTTTATTTTTGCTGCTACTGGACACCTGAATTTCTCCTACGGGGATCAATAAAGTGTCTATCGATCTATCTATCTATCTAAATTATCATTACATATAATACCATTAAGGATTATTTTTTATTATTGTTATTGATTATTATTAAAAGGGAAACAGTATATAACAGTAACAGATGTATTTGTTGTCATACCTTGTTGGGAGCAAGCAGGGCCCAGCAGAAGTGCCATGCCTGTGCAGATGCCTGGGCCAGGGTCAGCCACTTTTGGGCCATAGTTTTACGTTCCATGTCTGGATCAAAGTAGAGCTGGTAGAGAGCCTAAGAAATGTTGGGAAAGCATTAAAAAATATATTTGTTGAGAACCTTTTAGTGATAATGTAAATATAAAGTCTATAAAATGACATGCAAATGTTAAATATAAAATACATATCCCCTTTAACATGATAATTGTCTTGAGTTGGACAGTCACTGTATTTTTATTGTATTTATGAAGAGTAAGTTTAAAAGACACTGTTGTCATAGGAATTCAAGAGCTAAGTGAAACTAGCACCTATTATTAGCACAGCATATGGTTATAACTGAGATCATATTACAAAAAGATCAGTGTGCCATATTTCCATGATATCTGAGTTTCTAATCTTTTTGATGTTACGGAACAATTGCTTTTTCATATATAGATAGGTTATTAGCAATTTCATCAGTATTGCATTTAAAGTGTGCAGCTAGTACTAACAAGACATATATTAAATGTATCAATTGATGTAGTTATAACTATTTGATTATCTATGTTAAAAGTAAAACTCCAGCTCTGTTCACCAAAGTTTGGTGAACTTTAGGTAAGTTAATTGGTCCTATAAATGTATAGGATCATTTGAGAAGTGACTTACCGACTCCACATTCTCCACAGTCCAGTCCAGGTTGGCTGGACCTTCTCCTGGATTGACCGGTGGATCCTCCATGTTAAACGGAAATAATCTCACAGTTCCTCTTGGCCAGGTATGGGGAATGAAAGACACCGTTGTAGAAACAATCAAGTGTCCCGGTCTTGGGAGAAGAAGTAGTGACAAGGACGAAGCGGGTCAGCTGTTCACAGAGAGCACATGTGCACAGAGGCGTGACTCGCCAACCGCAGGGAAGATATCACATTCCCTACATAACATAGACAACTGTGCGATGTTGTTTTAAAATATCAAATGAAATTGACAAACAAATTGCGAAAGAGAATCTAAGTTCATGTGTTGTTGGCCCAATCCACAAGAGGCGCGCCTGACGCCGCTTGTTGCGTTTTGACGCACTGCCATTTGATTGGTCAGTCTTCACGGGGGCGGGATCAACAGCTTGCACAAATTAAAGCATTTCAACGAAACTTTAAAAAGCGTCATAAGAGCCATGCCGTGGTTGGAGATGGGAAATCTTCACTGTTGACACCTGGAGAAAAAACAAAGAGCACATGTTTCCGTGCTTCCGTCTGAGCCCGGCCGCCCCACCCCTGCTCCTCTTCTGCCCGACTCCCCCTGGATATTTATAGCCGTGATGATGTTCCCAGTGAAATCACGTAACGGAAACTACATCAGAGAGAAAAGGACCAGAGCTGTCGCTGCTAGAGGAGGACAGAGCCGCAGTGATCATGGGAGCAGGCTGCTATTGAAATGAAAGCGTTGTCGGGATTAAGTTCGCTCTGGTCGTACCTGATGCTGGTCCTCAGCAGCGCCACGCAGATACGGGGTAAGTGACTCTTCCTTTATGTAGACAGACCCCGCGGCCTCATGTGCGGCTTTGTTACTGGTTTCATCTGACACCGCAGAATCATGAGCAGAAACAATCTGTACTTGTCAAGGTTCTTAAAGTGTTGTATTTACAGCTCAGGACAATGTTTTGCCTCCAATCATCACTTCGACTCCTGCACCCCTGGACTTAAGAGACTTGGCAAATGATGGACAGACGAGTCAGAGTCTCGTGCCGCACGCGCACACCTCTGCTGACGTCACAGACGTGTTCACCACCAGAGCAGCCACACACGTCTCCAGTGCAGGGGCAGGTGCAACGACTTCATCCACAGGTAACAGCATGGAAGCACTCAGACATGTTTATAAGATGTGATGGGAGAGATTAAAAATAAGAATATACTGTTATTCCATCAACTTGTATGATAATAACTGTTTGTTCTCAAGAACAAACATTGTTTTATATTGTTTTTTGTTTTTTTACTTTAGCCATGATGAAACTTGTACACATTTTTGATTTTTTTTTTCAAGTTCAATCTCTCAGTCAACATCTGAACTTTAATTGCAGGCCTTTTTTTGAACAAATAGCTTTGTCTGTCTCTGTTTTGTCAGCTTCAGAGGGCACACAGACTCCACTGGGCTCATCGACCACTCAAAGCTCTGGGATCATCGTTTCATCTCAGCCTGCCAGCACCTCTCTGAGCGGCACCCCCTCTGTCCTGCCCTCCACTGAACCGTTGGGGTCTCTGGCCACAGCCTCAGCTGCAGAATCCACAGGAGGCTTTCAGGACATTGCAACTTACCGCGATACCCCATCACAGCTCAATGTTGGCGGCGAAGGTGAAAACTGAACTGCTTGTAAACTCTGTCATAGATAAAACTGATGTCTCTGATTTGTGATTGGGACAGATGTGAAGAGGAGCGGACACCCCTCTCTGGACCCACTGCTCGCTGGTCTTCTGTCAGTGTTCATAGTCACCACTGCAGTCATCTTTGTGGTTCTTTTCCTCAAGTTTAGGCACCAAAACAGCAACCCTGAGTTTCACCGGCTCCAGGATGTACCCATGGTGAGTGAGAAGGGGAAAACATATTTAGATGTTTCAATTAGTCACATTGCCACTGGAAATTAAGCACTTTGTTCAGGGCTAAATGACTTTCTACATTGTTTTCAGGATGATTTGATGGAAGACACCCCTCTTTCAAGATATACATACTGATTCATTCATAATATTATTCAAGGAAATGGAAATCAGTCTAAACTTTAATGGTATTAGGATATCTGGTGTAAGATCATGTGTACCTGCTTTTACTAACAATAGATTGCCAGTGGTCTTGCTATCCGTTCTGACCTTTGACATTCCCTTAATCTCCAGAGTCAGGTAGGACTCGGGGCATAGACACATGCAGTAGTCCATGGGCAGGGAGAAGCTTGATTTGGACCTTGGCAACACTGCACTTTGAAGAGGCATAACTGACCACAGCGCCCTCTTGTGGACATGGCTTGAAGTAAATAGCGAATGTACTAACTGTATTACGTGATTGTTAAAGAACACAAAGCCTTATGAAAGAAAACTCCAGTGGTTCATGTAAGAATTGCAAAGCCTGTTGTACACATTTTATGTTTGTTGAAAATTATTAGTCAACTAATACAAGTAGTTGGCATGTTTTGAGTTTATATATTTTTTCTGTAATCTTTTCTATCATTTTGTGTTGCCTTAAAACAAAAGTTAATGTTATTTAGATTAAAGTATATTGAAACGATGACTTGTAAGAGTGAATTGATATTAATGGTAGCAACACGCCACACCTGTTATTTATCTAATCTGTCCAACACAACCTGCCATGCTGCATAAAACAAATGACTCATAAAGCTAGAACTAGTTTCACTTTAATATAGTGGAGTATAAAAGTTTCAAATCAAAATTCAAGTCCATATATAAGATTATATTATGTGCAATAACATGGAGCTATTCTTTTAGTGGGAATCTCCTTATACTGGTCGACAGAATGGTCCAAATCTTGGCCCCGTCCAGCCCAGCAGATGGCGTCCAAAGCTGATGGTGGTCAGGAGCATTCCCATGAAGGCAAAGTTACCGAAGGCCCCTCTCATTCTTTTGGCTGGATCTAAGCAAAAAATCAATCAAGTTAAATTAGTTCAAACAAATTCAAGAACTTGAAAATACTCAACAGTTACCTCCAGAAGAGTAACCATAGGCATAAACCTCTCTCCCGATTATCCACACTACACCCAGTCCACTGACCAGACGCTGCAAATCAACAGAATGTCATCATGTTTTTAGATTATACTGCTTTTTCATAACTATTCTGAAATATATGTACATATGGGAAGACTATGAAGTGTATAAAGGACAGTAATTGTGCAACATTGTGCAATACAAATGTAATACTTCACAGCGTAATAAATCATCTGCTAATATTTGAACTTACAGGGCAATGCAAGCCGCCAATAGCCAGACAGAAGAGAAAGGCTGGGTACATTTCCAGGCTACAGATGAAAAGAATATGTTGTAATTATTATACAGTTCAAAACGGTTCATACGGCACGGTAAAGAGCTTATACTCACGTGTTTTGGTGGGCACGTTGGATACAGTTAAACTTGTTGCCATTTTCAGGATCATTACTGTACATGATGGGATACTGGAAGCAGAAATATGCACTTAGCTTTTTCTTACAAACAATGTATCAGTGTTATCATTTCTTCCATCTTACTGGCACATTGTACTTCTTCCGAGCTTTAACCACATTGATTGCCAGGTGCCCCATCATGGCCATACTGGCGACTCCAGTGAACACCACAAAGCCATACTCCTTGGACAGAACAACCATCTTGGAACCTGTAGAAATATATGAAGGGAAATGAGATACAAATACAGCTTTGTCAAAAACACAATACATTTATATTATTGTTTTATTCACAAGAAGATCCTGGGTTCAACTGGGTCTTTCCGAGTGGAATTTGCATGTTCTCTCCAAGTTTTCTCCGTCTGCTCCGGTTTCCCCTACCACTAAAAACATGCGCAATATGTGTAATCCCCCCAGTTGCGGTAGTCCTGACCAAGCCGAGCATCAATGTCTGGAGAAGAGTCCAGGGGCGCAGTGCTACGGCCCTAGTGGCATTGCAGGCTGGGTCAAATGCAGAGGACGAAGTTCTCCATGGGGATAAATAAAATCTCAATTTAATTACATTCATTCATTAATTTAACAATACATTACTTGCATCAGCCGAACTAAAACATCAAAGGATTTCAGCTATGCGAGGGATCTTATGGCAAATTCTCCCAGACTCAAATGAGCACAACTCGAGGAGGTCGCAACGAACTGACGCAAATAAAAAAACCACAGACTGTTGCAACACAAACCTCACACATAGTACTCTGTAACCAAGTAGTACTCTAACCACGTAGTACTCTCTACCAGAGCTGTGACATGCATGGAGAGCATATATTTACCTTGCTGCGTGCTGCGTGCTGCGTTTCTGGGAGAAAAGTGTCCTGGCTGTCGAAGTTGGAGAGACTTCCTGCTTTACGCGTCAAGGAATAGTAGGCGTGTTTTGTGAGTGCACCATATACTATATGGTGATACTTTGATTCATATCTTTTTTTTTATAATTGCCTTTTTCCCTAAATTGTGATTTTCCCGAAAAACTTAAACACGTTATAAAAATGTAGACATCAATCAAAGGAATAATTAAAGCTGGGGTACTTGACTTTTCCCACACACACACACACACACACACACACACACACACACACACACACACACACACACTGTCTGAAAAAGTTGATTTGAGAAGTCATAAAGGCCAAATACTAGGGTTAGAACCAAACTGTTTTGGAGCCAGTAAAATGGACCTGCAGTTGTAAGTGTGACTAACAACTTTTTTTCCCCAAAATAAAGATATCTTTAGTTATAATAATAATGATAATAATGTGGAAGATTAACCAGACAGAGACGGGATCGTGGCACACCTAATAATGCATCCGTTATATACTGCTTTTTGGACACTCAAAGATGCTTCACAGCTGCCCTGGGGCACACTGGCAGAAGTAAGGCAACCAGTATGTGCCATCGGCCCCTCCGACCATTCACACACACACACACACACACACACACACACACACACACACACACACACACACACACACACACACACACACACACACACACACACACACACACACACCAGACTCATTCCAGGCAATGTGGGTGAAGTGTCTTGCCTTAGGACACAATGACAGTTTGGAACTTTACAGCCACAGCCGGTGCATTGTGGCACCTGATGTTTCCAGAGGTCTCCCATTACAGTACTAACCAGGCCCTGCCCACCTTAGATTCAGAGGTCTGATGGGATCTGGCTTTTGCATTCAAGTTGTTGGGACAGACCCTTTAGTGATTTTGTTTTTGATGATTGTGATTATGTCTATCATCTGTTGCCCATGGCCAACCAGGGAACATGGTTTACTAAATGAATCCCAAAAAAATAATAAATATATGCATCTTAACTATGTTTTAGTGCATGCATAGTATTCACCCAGGTGAAAAAGAAATATATTTAAGTGTATTGTTGCTCTATTTTACTTTTCAAATATATTTTTAATTAAATAAAATGAACTTGTACTTTTAAGAAATACATTTCAAGTATAACAGCAATATATCTGTAAAATTGTTGTTCGAACATATTTTATAGTAAGTATATTTTTAAAACACTTTCTAAAAATATGTTTTACAAAAGTATAATTCAAATGCATAAAAAGTATAACATTGTATATATATTTAAACCGATTTATTTCATTATATACTTTTTTGTATATTTATTCTAAAAATATGTTGATAATATGTAAATAATGCAAAAAAAGAAATACTTTCTTTTCTTTTCAAACACAATTCAAATGTATTTTCTTATCAACCTACTTATTTAATATATTAAATATCAAGTTAATATTAATTTTAACAATGCTAACTCCAAGTTACCTTTGTGTTGTATGTTTACATACAATTTTCATATTGTTAAATACTTAAAATATTGCAAGTTCAACTTTCCTATTTGAAAATAAAGATTGTAAATGGATTTACAGATTTCTACAAATAGGCCAGACAACAGAAGACTGTTCAGTTGATTAAAATCTTTATTTTAATCTCTTTCAATGCTGTTTGGAAGGGGGACAACAAAGAATTTGTTCATGGAACTAAACATTACACATTTACGCTGCAGTGACAAGGGGTCCACAGCAAATACATTATTTGTCCTGGACACCTCAGTTACAAATGTAGACGATATCTTCAGCTTTACATCTTTCCAAGCATTGTTTTCACTTTTTTTCAGTTCTTTCACCAACACACATATGCCAGCATTCTCATGGGAAACTTCGTTCTCAGATGAATAATGAATTAGTGTTGATATTTCACAAAATTGTCCATCCCTCAACTGTGCAACAGAATTAATTCTCTTTTTAAGACTTGTATTATTGTAAGAATGATAAAGAACTCCGCTACAAACAAAGCGATCATAAAATAAACCAGAATTAATCATCATGCCTGTGTAACATTGTATGGCTTTTCTATGCAATATGGATGTGTTATGCCTTTTGGGGCAGCCAACTCCTCTGACACCACACTGAAAAGCATTTGACTTCTGAACTAAGGAAGAGCTACCCTGTAGTTTATTGAAAAAGTCCTTTACACTGTCACAAGCATTCATCATCGCAGCATTTGCCTTGCTTGAAAGACCTCTCCACTTGAGGAACCTCTTGACCATCTGAATAGGAACATGTGTTGTTCCATTGAAAAATGTCAGCAATGTCCCATTAAAGGATTCAAATGGAAAGGTAGACGTCGCCCACAGAGGGCCCCAGTTACGAACACTTGCAGCCAAATGCATTAGCAAATGAACATTGTATGAAACATTGACCGTGCCATAAAGTCTTTCAAAATCTAACACATATTTACGCAGAGCCTTTTCTGCAACATCAATGTGCTTCACTGAGATGGCATCCTGAAGAAGAGTGTGCATTGCAAAAACTAGTAAAAACAAATGATTAACATACTTTTTCTTCAAAATATTGTTAAGAACAGGCAAAGCATAAAAAAGTAGAAACGACCTCCACTCGGACGCTTTCCAAAATTTCCTTTCATTTATTGATCTTGGTACTCGTGTCACTTCCACGGGTGGCATGATTCCAAGTAGCTCCTTGTCTACATCACTGACCTTAGATCCAATGTACCAGTCCTGATTATGGTGCCTACTATCAAACCATAAAGACGTGATCTGTCTGGTCACACCCAGACAGACACTGTGTTGATACTCCGGAATGAAAGAGGTGATCATGTTCATGCTCTTTAGCTCCATCAGTGGTGTGGGTCCTTTGACACCCATTACAGGCTCATCACTTGTTCCTTGCATGGCATGCTCAAAATGGCTTTCTGCTGTCCTTAACGCTGGTTCTGGTGTTTTCCACACATAAGGGCCACCACCCGGGTGGAGGCAAAAGTCACAGCCATACTTTCCATTGAACTGTTTTGTGTTTCTCAAAAGGGGTCGGGCTATTGAATCTGCTGAACAGATTAATGCATGCACTCTACTTTTATGTTGAATGTTGTCACTGTCCCTCCAAGTAAGGCCAACTTCTTCAAGCACTTTAAATTGATCTACAAAAGCACTCAAGTAACTTAGCATGTTTGGTTTACTTTTCCCAAACCACAGGCATGGTATGATTATGTTTTGCTGTCTGTCTTTAGGTGATAGTTCAATGATCTGACACTGTATTGGCCAAACTTGAACATTATTGCTTTTAAATACAGGTATTCCGTCACAGTTCCATAACAATGACACATCATCTGGTCCAATATGTCCACTTATTTTTAGTTTTTTATATTCCTGTGCACACTCTATATCTGATACTATTCCATGAGTTGTTTGTATTGCTTGTAATTTGCTTTTTTCAAGAACTTTGGTCTACAATTTGGTCCGATGTGTTCATTACGAAAAAGAAAGATCCAGCGTTAATATTCTCTTCCAAGTCAATTTCAGCTTTGCATGAGGAACAGATTTTTGGTGCCTTTTCCTTAGGTCCCAAGTAACTTTCGCAGTCGGTGCAGTAAAAATGGGGAAGGTACTCTCCAAACTCACCATAAGCTTTGTTGAACAAATATGAGGTGGCTGGCACCAATCCAGGAATATGTTCATTGAAAAGTGTGAGAAGATCCTGAAGGGCCACGCCACTCAAATTATGTCGAAGTATGTAAGCCATGATCAAAAGCAGGTTCTCTCCCTTTGTGAGAGAGGCACCAGGATACACAAGGTCATCTCTTCTCTGAAATAGATTTAAAAAAAAAAAATAATAATAATAATCAATATTCTTAACATAGCCAACAATATTTTTTTAAATATTAGTGGATAATTTGTACTTTACCTCATTTAATATGTGTTCTTGTCCAATACTTGTATGTCCAGAATGTTCATGCTCCCTCTCCTCTCTGACTCCATCAAATGTATTTTGCATATGTAAACTGTCATTGTCTTTTTCACCTTGAGGTTCACTTTGATTATTTTCGCTATCGATGTTTAGTCCAATATCATTTACAGTTATACCATCTACACATCCTTGTAGTTCAGCATTCTTGGACTCTTCGATTGAATGTGTCCATGACATCAAATCCTCCTCCTCCTCCTCCCTTTCTTTTTGGTTTGGAATGCAGTCCACAGTTTTCTGCAAATTAATAAAATGTACGGTAAAGATACAATCCTAACATTTCGTATAAAATGCATGTCTAACTGAATACCTCTCTAAGCAACTTCCTTCTATATGTAGTAGTCCTAGGAAGTGCAGATTGCAGAATCAGATATTTCTTGTAAGATGCTTTTCCTTTTATCTGAAAGTAAACCAAAGTCAATTTAGGACATTTTTGAACGGGTAAGAACCTTTTAACTCACAACTAATTCAAATTGTAACTTGAAAATATAGCAGTGTAGAACAATGTCTCGGCAAATATATTATACATACATACAAGCACGCGCGCACACACAGTAAATTTGAAAATAGCACTGAGCTGGGAACAGCCAACCGCTACTAAACTACTTCCATACTGAAATGCTAACAAATGCTAACAGCATCTAGCTGAATAAATATTTTTTGTACTTGAAACCACACATTTTACTCACCTCTCTCTGTTTAATCTTTCTATGTTTTGTTGTTCTTGGCGTATCCCACAAACTCGAACTTAAGTGTCCTTTCAGCACACGGGGCGCCATGATAACTAATTGAGAGCGGAAAAACTCAACCAGAAGTTTAACAGTCATATTTGATACAGCCAATGAAAACAGTCGGTCTTGAGCAAGTTTCTCTTCAGCCAATAAGAACACTTTGCCTTGAGTACGTTGTACGTACGTTGCGCGCCGTGCGCGCCCAGCGCCCGCCGCCCGCCGCCATCTTAGTTTTTTTTCAAAAAGCAACACTTGAGCTGAAACAACCTAGCGCACTTAGATTTACGGTAAAGAGAAAATGCTTCCGTTCAAGTTTGCGATTTTTTATTTCCACAACGAGGTCGTCAAAGTGGAAAGCACTTCTTTAATAGTTGGAAATATTGGCAAATTCAATCAAATTAATTCTCGGCCTGATTTGACCGATGAGAATTGGTTAGAACTCAAATGTCCGTCGAGGAAGGAGCCGAAGAAAACGGAGGCCGTCAAAGTGTTACTCTTTGGGGGTAAGCTGCAAAAAAGTTAACGCTAGTCTTTATTTGTGTATGTACAAAATTACATATGTACTTACAGATTCTTTTAAGGAGTTGATCCAAAAGAAGAACAAATTCATTATAGGAGGAGACATTTGGCCCAAAGATGACATGAAACCCAGAGAGGCAAACATTGGCCAGGTAAGCCTTGTTTTTATTGTTGCGTACACCTTTACATTTTTAACATTAGTATGAAATATAAGGGTACACTAGTGAGTGCTAATTACAAATTACATTAATTTAAACAATCTGGATTATAGGACGTAATGTTCCAGTGGAATGTTAACCTTGCTAACGTCATGCTGCTGTGTGCGCTCGAATCATTTCGAACTGCACAACAATATATCACTTGTGATTTTAGTCTGGTGTTAGCCAGGCTAGTGGAATGTAACAATTGACATTAGACTGTTACCATGGAGAGCCGCCATTAGTTTTACATGTACAATTTAGATAATCTACCTTCCTACCTACCTCAGTATTTTTGAATTATTTGTTTATTTGTTTTTTGTTTGTTATTTGTAAATCATAACACTTTATTATATTAAGGTGTTTTATTAACATAAATATCTATTGTTTTTGTAGGATAAAAAAAAGAAACAAAAGTCTACCCGACAAGAAGCAAGGGACAAAACTCTCGCCAAATTAAAAGACACACTTTCACAAAAGAGGTCTCTGCAAGCATCTGAAGAGTTGTTCAGCAGCTCTGACGATTGCCAGACACCTGTTCGCAAGGTTGGGTCATTTATTTACACATTAACAATCCCTGGTGTAAAATATTACATGTAATTTTTGTTTTTTTTTTTTGCTAAAGAAAAGCATGCGGATACAGCAGTTCTCACCGCAGCCCAGTTCAGATGATACAGACATTGGGAGCCCACCCCCTTTGCAGATTGTAAGTTGTGGTTAATATAAGAAAACCATATTGGACTTTGGCTTACCATAACATATTCTAACATGATTAATGTGTTATAGATTGAAAACTTAGAAGAAAGTTTGCATGTCAATCCAGAGGTAAGTTCTAATGTTATTTTTTGTGGTCTTCGTTTTGATTGTTGGAATTAAATTTTTCTCTTGACAGGGACTGATGCTCAAGATAACGCTGTGCCATCAATGGCAGAGATTATCGGGTGTCTTCGTGGTATGTTTTGTGGCTCTTTCATGAAAAGCTATGTCTATTCTAATGTTAATTTGGTTTATATATTATTCGTACATTCTCTGTTTTTCAAGAACTCCCAGAGACACTGCGATTAATGAAGGAGTGTGTGGAGAAAGTGAACACATCACTGTCCCATACTTCTTCAACCAATGTTTCTGTGTCATCAACGTTTTCTTCAGATGCTGATGGTGATGGTGATAGTGAAGTGGTAGGTATAGTGTTATACCATGTAGTATACCACGAACAAATGATTTTGTTTAAAATAAATATGATTCAATCAGAAAAGCCAAAGACAAAATGTAATTTATTTTAATTTTCTGTGTCTGTTTCCCTACAGCACTTTCTACCAGGGAAGACGGTGGCAGTTTCTAAAAGGGCTTTTCTTCGTTTGAATCGAACACGGATGACCGTTTTCGCCCAAGAGTTAGCGGTGCTTCTTTTTTCAAAGGACACTCTGGCAAAGTCAACTTTAACTGGAAAGTATGGAAAAGGAGAAATGGCCAAAGGTCAACTAGATGTGATCAAAGTCCAGGCCATTACAGGTAATTTCACCTGTTAATCTTAATTAAAAAAAGAAAAGAAAAAAATATTAATATATGAACTTAAACGTGTTTTATGTAGGTGTGCTTCAAATATACACAATTCTAAATAAGTCCATTCTCAGTCATGTGACTTTTGGTTGGCAATCTGCTGTTTAGGACTATGCCTATTTAAATGAAACCTCAAAGTTCTAAAAAGCTGACTGACAACCAGAATGACAGCGACTGAGGAATGCTCTATAAACAGAGTATGTTAAGAACATGAAAAGTACTTTTTGAATGTATCTTTGAAATTCATAAGGGTTAATACTAACACAGTTGTGTCTAGTTAGTTCCTGGATAGGAGAACATGAGGGCTTATGAGTGGTTAATAGTGGTTGAACTGTCTGTTGCTTCTCAGCGTACACTCATGAATATACAGGTGAAACTCACAAAATTAGAATATCGTGCAAAAGTTGATTTATTTGTGTAATTCAACATAAAATGTGAAACTAATATATAATGTAGAGACTCGTTACATGCAAAGTGACATTATGTCCTGCCATTGTTTCAAATAATTTCGATGATTATGGTTTACAGTCCATTTTCAAAATCTTCTACTTTTCAGAGATTTTTAATTTGGGATTTTTACAAGCTGAGCCATAATGATCAAAATTGCATCAAATTAAAGGCTACATATATCACTATGCATGTAATGAGCCTGTCATATTAGTTTCAGATTATAAGTTGAATTACAGAAATGAAAGCACTTTTTAACGATATTCAAATAGCTTACAAGTGAGTGAAAAACATTCCCATATCTTGTTTGAAATGCTGTAACGTGACCTGTGTCATGTGAAAGCTCTGTACAAATTTGATTTCCTTCCCCTAATACATTGATAACTTGTATGAAGTGCATATAAATGCGATTTACATTAATATTACTGCATTGGTCATATTTTTTGTATTGATTAAGTTTTCATGTGCAGATGCTGTAATTGAAGAATTTCCGGGTCTTTTCCGGTATTACAATTTATTTAACCTAAGATCAAAAAAAAGTTCACAGTGTACTTATCAAGTACATTTCCTTGATAAGTAATGTATTTTTTGTTTGTTCCAAATATAATTCACAAATAAAGCCTATTATTTGTAATGGCTGGAAAGTCTTTGTGTAATTGATGTAGATTAATGTCACTACTAACACATTATAAATATATTGCAAAATTAACAATTAATATCGCAATGCAATAGCCTTTCACTATACCAATTTTCAATTTACATTAGTAAGAGTATTTCGCTTATACATTATTTACGTTTCACTTTAAATAATATGGTAAGATGCTATTCGTATTTTATTAATCGATGACCAAGATTGCACCTGTAATAATCATACTTAAAATTGAACAAAGTATACTTAGAATTGATACACCTTTAGTACATAAAATTGCATTAAGAGTACTTAGAATACAATTTTAATTTTCTCATTTTTATGAGACCAATTCTAAATTTATTTAATACAAAAAAAGTTGTTCAAAAAATCGGCCACAATATTAATATTCTACTTTATCAGCAAGTACTAAATTCTATTAAATTATACAGAGAAATTAAAATATATTTAGATTATGAGGGATCATTACCGCGTCACCGTGACTAGCAGGCACTACGGGCAGCCATAATGCGAGGGACACACCCTCAGGCGCAGGTAACACGCCTTGCTAGCTATATATAACTGGGACCGTTCCAAAATTAGATCTCTCTCGACTACATGATAATATGAACACGAGGAATTTGAAACTTCTGCAGTTTGTGACCCAAATTATACTCAACACTAAATTCAGAATCAGATCCTATGATAATGAATCCTAACAATGTCATTATTAATGGTCCAGTTTTACCCAGCGCTGGTCGGCATATTGTCGCATCTAATACAGTGGTTTTTTCATGAAAAACGTGAACCAGAAATTCTGAAAACCTCTAGAACGTGTAATAAGAGGTATATGTATAAATGTATTCTCCGTATATTAACATTTAATGTGTTTATTCGTTACACCATTGATGCTAAGTGTGGCACTACCACTGCAAGTGGAAATAATGAGAATACATTCAAATCCAATGGAGCTTTCTGCGTTCTACTGTGAGGAGCAGTACTAATTTGATTAATAATTACTGTACGGGGCCACCCTAGAGCAAGGCTCAGTCCGTTCACATGTCTGATCGGCCCTTCGGTAAGTCAGATTCCACCTGTGAACAGGGTCTGGAGTCCGTGTGAGGACCAATATCTAATCAACAGCTATGCTACAAGCTAAGCTACAGGTCTACTGGAGCAAACCCTACGTTGCAGTAAGACAGATTACTCGTTTTATCCTTAAACTTCGTTAGTTTTGGAATACACTAAATCCGCCAATCAAATTGAATTCACTTTCGCAGAAATGAAAATGATACGAGCTTATTCGGGCGATTGGGGGATATTAGTTTTTTGGTTGGTGCGTTTGGGGTTGTGCCATTCTCTCCAGCTATCTTTGGAGATGTCTTCTGTCTATTTGAGCCGTGTGAAGTCCGAAAGGACGGCTCGGCAGTCGGTGTAACATCAAACTTATTTTCCCTGTCTCCTCCTTTCTGCTGCAGCCACAAATAACGGCAAAATATTGTTCGAACATGTTTTTGAGGTGCGCGCGGGTCCGGGTGCTGCACTATCATACAGCGTTTGCTTGTCCTCCAGTATGGCGGCATGCCACCTCAGAGTTCGACGGACAATCGTGACCGTCGTTAACCGTGGAGATATCATCTATTTTTTTTTTTTCACAAAGGGCACTATAGGATTACCAATAATAGACAATTGTTAGAAAACTTTGAGGCCCTATGTGTAGCCCAATGTGTCTCGCAGTCGTGGATCAATTTAACCAAAATAATATTTTTTTGTTAGTATTAATGGTATTTTTATTAAGTATTATTCTGTATATTTTAAAATCGTCCGGCTTTTATTTTGGCGGTGTATCCCACAACTTCCTGTGGGTTCAAGCGGGATTCCCCTTCAGTCGGATGGGAAAGATTGCAGAGCGGGAGCGTAACAAGAAGCATTTAAATCTCTCGTGATTCAAGTTATAAATTATATTCATATAAAGTTGATTTAGGTCGATTCTTTTTTGTAGTTTCACTGACTATTATAAGGCGCACCTAGCTCAATGAGTTAATGTTAAAGTTAACATGTGTGCCATAGCGTTTCTTAACGTCGCAGTTATTCAGCACTTTGGAAAAAGCCAGCGGAATTGTAAGCTAGCAGAGCATGGGCTCACATGTTGTCTGTGGCACTTTTTTCTCGTCTCTGCAGATCTGTGTCAGGGACTGCCGTGTGCTATACAGCCCAATTTAGATTTGTTTGAGTTTCACTCCAGTAAATTCCCCCGAACTGACGAACCCATGTGTCTGCGTTTGATTCTTGAAGCTTCTACCTACACAATACACAACGCCGGAGAGACCGGCTACATAAGGACAACCTACACTCTGAAGTGATGTGTGGCATCATGCCCTTATTATGAGTGGCATGGAGTTAAAAGGAGGTAAAAGGTTTTATTCACCTCTGTGAACTATAGTCGAGCAAGCCAGCATGACAACAGACACCGCCTGGGTGCTGTTTGGATAAGGGGACATGCCATCTGTGCCCTACCCCACAAATCACTGTCAGATATGAGGAATTACTATAAACACTGCAATCTAAACTTAAAAAAATTTATCTATAATCCTCTTCCATGACACTATTGCATTCTGGTTGTTGTTCAGGGGTGTAGGGTAAGAAAAGTCAGCCTATATTGTTCTGTTATTAAAATTGCTCACACAAAACATTTACTGGCACCAGCACGAGGCAAATACACAGTCAAAAAAAGTAAGTTTGGATATCCATTCTGGTGAGTTTGCAATCGTCTCTCCACTACAATTCTCAATCATTGGAACAGTTCTTTTCGGCCAGAAGAGCTACTTTCTGGAAAAGGTTTCAGGTCACAAGCAAGACACAATGTAAAACTAAAGTACACACATCTATATTCGTATGGTAATTTATTCTAAGCCAAACACACAACATTAAAAGAAAGTGCATGACACCAGAGGAATGGACTTAGACACAATCTTGGTGAGTGATTGAGAGTGATGGGGTTTACACTTTCGGCGTCCGTTTGTACAACTTTTTCTGGTTACTTCACAGGATTTTGTCTTATTTTGACGCTTTTTTTTTCACGTTAGAAAAAGAAGACAACGTCTCCGACTTTGTGTGTTATACCTCCTGCTGTGGCGGAGGTGCTCTCACGTGAAAACTGACATCGTTTTGATGACCCCAATTAAACAGTTTTGTGCTACACTGGAAATTCTTCCAATTAATTTCTCTTGATCTATCTACTTCTGTTGCCACAGTATAGTCTAAATCACAAACAGCACAAAAAGAGTATTGCTATAGAGTTATAGAAGTGGCAACAAATTTATTTCATGTTTGGACAATAATGGAGTATTTTGTTCGTTGAATGAATTGATATGTTTTACTATTTTAATCTACCACTTTACAGTCGGTAAATAACAGGGTACTGACAACTTGCAATTGTTGTCATGTTTACGAAATTCTTATTTCGGATTTTTTTCCAAAACCATTTTTTGAAAGAACACAGCAAGTAATATACAACTGAAAAGTATACATCATTTGTGAGCAGCCCACGTTCTTGATCAACAATTGATGTTTATAAAACATTCTATGAATGAAAATGAATGTTTTTGGAAAAAAATTCCAATATATTTTTCCTCAGCTGCTTTGCTTCCAAGCTGGTCTTGTATTTCGCACCATTACACCTAACATTAAATCTTACAAGGTTGTCATTTGTCCTTCGCCTGAACGAAACTGCAATGCCCCCCAAGGAGATGCTAATCCATCAAAATGATTTCCCCTTCATTGGGTTCATAATAAAACACTAAACACATCCGGGCTCTAATAATGGTTGTATTAGAGGAACGGATGTGTTTAGTGGTTTGACATATTCACCATACAGCATTCCCCAGGTCCACAGCCGCTCCAGAGAAGAAACCACTGGCCCTGTTGTTTTGAGATGTGAGTTTATTTATAGTCTATGGTTTAGTTTTTGACACGACAGCAGCTGTTTCTGGTATGTTTTGAAGTTGTGGCAAATACTCTCTTCCATTACCTGATGATGATGCACATACACGCAGTGCTATGTGAGGATGTTAAGTATGGGGAAATGGTTTTTTATTATCTAAACCTCACCTCATACTTTACCTCTGGTGTTCTGCAGGACTTGATGCGGTTTATTGCACAAACAACAACTAAAACATAGCTATCGCCGAGGCCGTCCCAGAACAGCATGTAATTATACTGAGAAGTATTCAAGGCACTCTATGTTAATCATTATAGTGAAAGATTCGGGACCATTCAGTAGTCAAACATTCCAAGGCAAACAATGGAAAGGGAATCTGCAATGAATACATGCACCATTTTTTTCTTTTTTTTTTTTAAAAATAACAGAATCATTGTTTACTTTGGAACGCCTCTGTTTCACATGGTTACATACAGTTAATGCACTTTTACAGCAGTGGTTACTCTGTTTGAAACTGGGCCACAAGGATCAGTATGCATGTAGAATATATTAGACTATGATGTTTGGCGATAAATCACTAAACAGTCCCAAAAGGCACAAAAGTGATGTAATTCGCACGTCGTGCCGAGGTATCAGTGCGCCGTTTTTTCTCCCTCCTGAGCCACCGCAGCTGGGGATTCTCACTCCCCAAAACTCAAAATATATCACAAGGTTTCATGATGTGCTCAATCCACGGGCAGGGGTAAACTAAAATGTGTGTCATTTCAATTTGACAATAGCATGGGCCCACTGTTATAAATGGAACAATAGGGCTGTATACTAAACCTTAATCTTAAATCTATCTTTGTCCTAGATTGATTCACTTTAGGTCTGAAATTAAATAGGGTACGAATTTTGCCTTCTGTTTGAGATATATATATATATTCCCCCCCCCCCCCCCCCCCCCCTTTATTATATAATAAATTGTGTAAAATCCAAAGTTGCCACATTACTCACCAAACCACGTTATTGTTGTTTCTCTGAGTGTATTTCTTTATATTCAACTACGCACCCCAACACACTCTCACCGCGCGGCCCTCAGCGCGCCCTCCGTTGGTTTACTGTCTTCAAGGAGTGGCGCATGGTATCCCATTGTGGGTGTGGAACAAACTGAGGCGGACTCGTTGTGCCACGCCATTCGAAGACAAGAGGTGTCATAACCCCTGAATAAGATCAGGGCAGTAGAAGAAACACTGATATAAATAATGTCATTAGAAGCAGCTTCACAGCACTGTTATAAAAGTTCAAGAAGCGCACAAGACGGACGAGGAACAGATGGCATGAGATACGTGCGGGACGCTTGGCGATGACTTCGATTTGACATATGTGGAAATATTACTTCTGAACTCAAACAATCTGACGCCGGGACTGTATCAATGAAGAAATGTGAAACGGGTCTGGCTTCTCTCCATACCGGGGGGTGGATGAAGCCTCGGTTTCATGAGTCTTGACGCCCGCAGCCCAAGCGCGCATCAAACCTGCGGTCATAGTCCTACTTTCTTGTGCACTTGGAGGCAGTTGTTCGCGTCCCGGTGCTGTCCACGGGTTGCCCGGAACCGTGCTGTGTGCATGTCCAACTGGTGGTACAATGTGCCGACAAACACTTGACAGCCTTCACGGAGCTGAACTCCTGCAAATGGCCCCACACGGCAGCTCATCATCTCCAACCACAGGATAAAGGAGCTTCCCGCGCTAGCACTCAACTACCCTCTCGCTGTGTACCTGGACTGAGCAATAACTCCTCTCAGAGATCTCCAGAGTCCTCGTTCGGGAATCTCACGCAAACTGGGGCATCATAATTGACCTATCTTTAATACACTGAAGCAGCATAGAGGACAGCGTAAGTTTGGAACACTCTGTCCAGTCTGGTCATGCTGAGGATGAAGACAAAACGGGGCATGTAACAAATCTATTCCGGTCCGCGTTTTTCAGGAAAAGGATAAGCAGCTCTTCAAGTGTTGGATAGTTGTGCAGCAAACACCTGAAAAGCCTACAACCTTAAAGTCACTAATCGCGCTGTTGTCCGGCTCTGCGCTCCGTGGGCCTCAGTGGGAATCCCTGGAGCTGCGACATGTGACAATGAAGACATCGGTCTGTGGCGTTCATCTGGAAAGGGCTTCAAACTTTCAAGGTTCTGCATTTATCGTGGGAAGGAAACATTAGTCATACACAGAGTTTTGTTTCTGTAGGGAGTGCCTTTATGCATATTTATGATTTTCTGTTATTATGTAATGCATAGTTCCTTGAAATACAACAACCCACCCATGTGTCACTTATTGTCTGGAATCCAAAGTAAATATTAATAACAATATGATACGTATTTAAAAATAGGTTGGCAAAAAACAATCTCTGATTGATTATAAACTATGCTATTGCATCAAAGTCTTTAATAAGTATATTAGAGGTTAAATGCGAAACTTCCACCTTATAATATCATGTTTAATGCTACAATGATATAAAAAGTAGTGAAGCGATAGGCATACTGTGAAGAACTTTAAAACTGCTCCTTCTCATTTCGAGCATAAATTGTTTCCCGAAAATCAAAGAACTTTCCACACCTTCATTCTGGTCGGATTCATTTGGGTTCACCATTATAAGAAACAATTATAGGAAACAAGAAAGACACATATGATGGATATCACTGTACCAAAATGTCCTTTTCAATTATATGTATGATTTGGTGGAGGAGCTTAGAGTTATAGCCGTGCTCTTCTCCCATGTCAAGAAAAGCAAACTGAGGTAAGTTAGATGTTTTTAGGATAAGGGATCCTGAAATAAGAAGCAAAGCTATTTTAAGCACATAATGTCTTAACATCATACTTTTTTTTTACGGCTTGCCACAGCCTTGTTTATTTAACTTTGATCATGACAGATCCAGGTGCCAGAACGTTCACACTTCAGGCTGCACCTGAAACACATTTAACACTCCAAACAACATTGTGCATAAAAAAAAACATACACAGCTCATGTGTCCAGTTGCATCAAACACTTCTCATCATCAACATTGTTTGTGCTGCGTGGCTAGTACAGGGACACCTAAAGATAAAAAAGCAAACACAAACATGAAAAGTATAGGCTGTAACAGTTGATTAATCACAAACTAATGGTTATTCAAAAGTTGTCAACTCATTTAGAAATAGGACTACATTAGTTTGTGATTGTTTATGGTACCAATTTGTTGAGTGGACTCTTTCATTTTATCCATCCTAGTTCTAACTTCCCAGGTGTCTTTTGAGTAAAGTCTGAGTTTATGGCCTCTCTCAGCTTTTCCTTTGAGCAAGGATAAGGTCCTGGGCCAGAAAACACACTCACAATACGTCCAACAGCCTGTCGGCCTGTGTGGACTTGAACCTTAAGGCGCCACAGTTTTATCTGAAAAGGTATGGGAAAAGATTAATGGTGCATGGAGCCTTGAAAACGCGCGCGATCGAGGGACAACTCAAATAGTGAAAGGAAAAGATGCTAAGTGCGTCATGGTTTCATAATCTCATTGAGCAATTCGGCTGACTTTTGATACCAAAGAGACTGATGTGAAACTGGGCCTGCACCTTCAAATAAATCCGCAGGTGGAAATGCTACACATAAGGTGGGGGGATATTTCAGTGTTGCTCAAAGTTACAGTGCTGTAGGTGGGGAATTAGTGAGCATAAATGAAAAATAGCTCTATAACTAAAACTAGAATAAAATGTCAAAGAAGCAGGTTAAAATCCACTATACTCTCTCTGAGGAAAGAAGTCTTCAAACTTCCAGAAATCTCCAACTTTAGCAAGAAATTGAGTAACAAAAAAAGACTGCCCCCTTCATGTGGTCATGTTCATTTTTGTTTATCTTAAATGGTTTAAAACATTAATGAAGGTCTTGTCACAGCGCAAATTATTTCAATACTTTATCCAACCACAATTTGAACCATGGCATTCTTGCTGAGTCGGAAGAGAGCAAACCATTATACCACTGTGCCGCAGATCAACGCTGCCAAAGCGGGGGTTCTGTCACTAAAATGTACACAA